CATTGAGTAGATGTTTGGTATCCACATCCTATTACAATGGAGATCAGGAAATACAGTCTTTATTCTGAGAATCCAGAATGTAGAACTGTTTATAAGACAATTAATTGGCCTTATCTCTTCAGAGATGACTGTCCTAGATTTTAAAAGACTAAAGAGACATATAGGTGAGCCTTGATTGACTATAGAAGATATTTTGAGGGCAATAGGGAAAATTAGAATATGGGCTGAATGTTAGATGATATTAGAGAATCATGGTTAATTTTATTAGATGTAATCATAAATTATGTTTTCATAGGAGCATGTTTTTATTTTTAGAAAATGCAAGCTAAGAGTGAGGTGTCCTGAATCTACCACTTCCTTCAAAATGTTTTGTCAAAATTCTGCATATAAATAGGTAAAGATATTTATAAAGAAAACACGGAAAAGATATTTTTATTAGCTAGATAGTAAGAATTACTCATAGTAAGATAGGTATAGTGGGTGGAAGGGGTATAGATATTTATTATACTACCCTTTCAACTTTTCTCTATGTCTAAATTTCTTAAAATAAAAAGTGGGGAGAGTAGTTCTCTGTTTGACTCGGCTGGTCCACAGTCTCATGTGTAGTTGGCTGACTCCTGGTGAAAGGGAATGTTGTTCCTCTCAGCACTCCGAAGCCAGTCAGCTCAAAGGGTCTGCAGGTGGGGGGTGCATCCCCCAGGCTTAGCCAGGGGGTCCTGGAGCTTGTGGAGATGAGGAGAGAGAAGACTGCATCTTGGCCCTCAGCTTCTTGGAGGGTCTTCCCCATCACTCGGAAGGCAGCACGGCATCAAGGATCCACACAGCCCATCACCTATTTGAAATAACGTGACAGAAGATTAAAGATGAATCCAAGACAGGCCAATGCCTCAGTTACAGCCTCGTTAGGAGCCTCTGTCCTCCCTCCACCATTTTTGCCCATATCATCTTGGAGCAGGCACTCAACTTCGGTGTCCTCATCTGTAAAATGGAGATCGTAGTCATTGCCTCACCCACCTCCAGGGCTGTGTGAGGATCAAAAAAGTTGTGTGTGATTTGCTATGAGCTAACAAATGTGCAAGATGATTAGGAAGATGACCTTGCTCGCCCCAGAACTACTTCATCCTGTTACGCTCTCATTCAGTTAACCCACAGACACCAGGACCAAAGGACATTTTTCAAAATTCTGCTTGTGGTGGTTTGGAAATACCTCCACAAATTCTTTGACATTCCTCCCTTCAAAAATGGAACCTAATTCCCCTCCCCTTGAGAGTGGCCTGGACTAAGTGATTTACTTCTAACATAGGGTTGCCAGATAAAATACACGATGCCCAAATGAAATTTAAATTTCAGAAAAACAACAAATAAATTTTCGTATAAGTATGCCCCAATTACTCTGTGGGACATATTTGTACTAAAGTGTATGCATTGTTTAACTGGAATTCAGATTAACTGGGCATCCTGTTGTTTTTGTTTGCTTTACTAAAACTGGCAACTCTGTTCCAGTGAATAGAAGAATGAATGTGGCATAAGTAACGATGTGTGACTTCCGAGCATAATGGGCATTGCAGCTTTCACCTCCCTCCCTCTTAGACACTCAGTCTGGGAGAAGCCGGATGCTGTGGTGTGAGGACACTCAGGCAGCCCATGGGGAGATCCACTGACACTTTGGCCAACAGCCAGCACCACCTCACAAGCCACATAAGTGACCCATCTTGGTAGTGGATCCTTCAGCCCCGGTTAGCCCTGGATGACTGCAGCCCCAGCCAGTGCCTTGGTTACCTCCTCATGGGAGACCCGGAGCCAGAGCCACCCAATTAACACTAGATTGCCCAAGGAAGTCATTTTGACTGTTTTTTAATTTCAATTAGAAAAACAATTATGTATATAAGGACACAATGTCTTAGAATTTCGTGACTTTTTTTACAACATATGAATGTGTTTATTAATAATTGTAGTTACCTCCCCCTCCTTCATTTACGGTATATATATATATATATGTGTTATACCTATATTGCCCAAAAGCAGTCATTTTGACTGCTTGGGGGGGGGGGGGGGAATTATGACTCTTATTATTGAATTGAGTAAATTTCTTATATGACCAGGTCGGCTCTGTATTGAAATAACAGTTTTCATTTTTTTTTTTCGATTACCGTCACATGATAACATACAAGTACATGATAAATTGTCGATACTTGATAAGTTGCAGTTGCTCAATTAGCTAAACTAGTACTTGTTATTCGAATCTTTATGCAGTGATACTTGTTCTAATAAGTTGTTTATTGTATTTCTTTTGCGCCCTAAATTCATGAAAAAAATGTCGAATAGAAGTGAGTTATTGGAAAAGCTAAGGAACATAAGTGAAGAGTGCTCCGATATTATTCTTTCACGATGCAGTCATTTTGACTGCTTTTGGGCAATATAGGTATATACTAAATTTCCGTCTTTCTAGTGTTAAGTTGCTCCTGAATTCCTCACCGTGTGGGATAATAAGTGATTGTTTCCAGCCTCTGGCTCAGCCCTGGTGTGCACTGTGGTTCCTACAGGATGATCCCACTTGTAAGAAGCTCAGAGATTTGACCACTAGACCCTCCTCACCACCTCCTGTCAGACCACTCAAGTGCCCAGGGCAAGGTTCCATGGAAGCTTTTTTAACAAGTAATGGCACGCAGCACGAAGTCTCTCTGTAGGGAAAAGGAACTGATAGTGATTTTCAGAGGCCCCATGCGGCCCTTCCCTGCGTGAGAAGAAAACCCAGGGCCTGCGCTCAGTTCTGCCGATTCCAAGCTGCCTGGTTTGGAGAAGCTGTTTAATTCCTCAAAGCTCTGGTTTTATCTATATATATATAGGTGCGATAATACCTACTTGCAGGACTTTTGTGGGGATTTGGATATTAAAATAACATTTATTAGGAGGGTAGGATGTGCTGAGCACTGTTGCACTTCATATGTAATCTAACAACCCACTGAGATGGGTAGTGTGCTTCTCCCCATTATACACAACAGGAAACTGAGGCATGCACACTTTACATGATTGCCATTGCCAGTAAGTACACATGTGCCCGGCACATAGTATGCATCCCTGTAAAAGTTACTGTTTAGATTTCTTTTACCCTCCAAACCACTGTTTTTCTAGGAGAGAAAATGGGCGTCAGTGGGGATTGGTAAATCTCCTAAGGCGACTCCAAGTCTGCACTCTCCCCACCCAGTGAGTCATCCCTGGGGCCCTCCTGTAGGGGGTGGGGGTGTGCAGAAGGGGGCTGGCTGAGATGGTCATTCTCCTGATATCCCTCCACCCATCGCCTTCCTCCTGCTGGTGTGCTTGGCTCAGAGGAGTTAGGGAGTTATACTGCCACATAAAACATGCTGATTTCCGCCTCTCTGATAAAATGAGATGCTGCCTGGCCCCCCTGGGTGGCAAGCCATCTGGAGCTGGAGAGCAGTACTCTCCCAGATGGAGCCGGACCCCCATTTGCCACCGAGAGCAGAGCCAGATGAACCCCATGTTCTGCACATGTGATTTTCCTGCCAAAATGGGCACTGGGCTAGCTATCTAAGTCACACCCTTGGTGACACCCCCACCCCCATCTTCAAAGTAGCAACACTTTCGTTCTTTCTCATGTCTTCTCTCAAGGACCCTTTATTAGATTAGACCCACACCGATAATCTATCTTCAAGAGGGTTCCTGTCTTAAACCATTGGACAGCACAGTCCTGGGAGTGTAGGTCCCAGGGGTTAGGGCAGGGCACCTGGGGACAGGAGGCATTTTAGAAGTTCTGCTCCCACAGGGCCTGGCATCAGATGGACGCAACTGTATCAGTGCCATATCCCGACTTCGATGGTTGCATTGTGGTTGTGTAGCAGAAGGTACTTGTTTGCAAGGAACCCACAGGGACACATTCAGGATGGTGGGGCATCAGGTCAGCAATTTACTCTCAGGTGACTTAGTATTAAAACAGTTCTTTGCACTGTTCTTGAAACATTTCTATATATGTGCATGCAGCTAGATTAAAAAAGTAGTAATGGATACAGATGTTCATATATACAAAGAAAAATGTTTAGAAATATCTAGAGATACAGAAATTACCTCTGGGAAGTGGAATCATTTTGGGAAGGGGTGAAGAGGTAGACAGCTTTTACTTGGGGGCTGTATGATATAAATTTATTAATGAGTAGGTATTTTCATAATAAAAACCAGGAAAAAAATCTTGGGAAGAAAAATAGCAGGAGACTGGCTCCCTGTTTCTTGGCAAAGAGTGAATGGGGAGAAGGAGGCCCAGGCTGAGGCCGAGATGAAAAGATGAGGCAACAGGACACGTTATCGCTATTGCAGCTCCGTGCTTCTCCCCAAAGCTACCGAGAAATCAAAATAGTCTGTCCTGAGGCAAAGGGAGCAAAGGTGATTTCTGTTGGCTCAGAAGGCGTGCCAGGCACCACAGCACTTCCCAGACGAGGCTCGCACTTCTCTTGCCCGTGTGCTTCCCAGTACTGAGAAGATTGGCGTTTCTCTTTGTATTTAGTTAACAACTGCACCTCTTCAGTCCCTCGTCTTATGTGCCTGATGGCACCCACATCACATGACATGTGACTGCTTGTGATGGGTTGAGTTGTGTGTTCCCAAATCGATGTGTTGAAATCCTAACTCCCCGATACCGCAGAGTGTGCCCTTGCTTGGAGACAGGGTCATGAGCGAGGCAGTCAAGTTAAAATGAGGTCACTGGCGTGGGCCCCAGTCCAGAATGACTGGCGTCCTTGAAAGCAATGATCAGGACACAGACACTCAGCGACAAGAGGCTGTGAAGACACGGAGAGGACAGCTATCCACAAGCCCTGTTTTGTCTGAATTTGAAATGTTTTCAAAATTAAGTTAAAACTTAAATAAGAACAAAAATAGAACGTAAGCGTCAAGCTCTGGGAAACCCATTGCAGACCCAGATAGCAGAGGCCTGGAAGGACCTGCAGTGCCTGAAGCCGGTGGACCTTCCAGAAAGAGCTGGGTTTATCCAGGTTTTAAATTGCTTTATTTTTTCCATGAGCCCCCGGCCCCCAAATATCTCATGTCCTCAGGATATGAAAGGATCCTGGGACCTGAGTCTGGAAAAGGTCCCGGATGCAGTTCCTCCTGGCAGGTGACTGAAGAAAGCTTTGTGTTGATTCTGGGACCCTCGCAAGTGGCTTTCACAGTCCTCCTGGCCTCACAGAAGGGGCCCCTGTGGTTTGCGGATGTGGCCTGAGACAGTCCTCCCTCTCAATCCAGCCACAGGCTCGCCTGACTTAGTGGGAAGAAGCGTCTGGACCGGGCTTCCCACCAACAGTGTCCTCACCTCCGATGGTCTGCTCCAATGGCGTCTGTGACGCTGGGAAAACCCTGCTCCCTGGAAAAAGAGAAAACAAAGCAAGTTCAGCAAATGATGAAGGACAGGCCCTGTTTTTACCAGACGCCCACATTCACCGGGGCTCCACCTGCTCCATAACTGCACCTCCCCCCTCTCTCGATCCCAAACACAGACCTCATGCCCCTGCACTGTCTTCACCCAGGAATCTAGATCTGAACACCCAGGTCTTAGACCAGAAGGCAGGTGATTTTAAGTATGACAGGTCCCTGACATCAAACCAATGCGACTGAATTAATGAGAATGCCACCAGGACTCCGCAGGCCCATACACACCATTGCCTTGGGCGTTAATCTTCAATACCATTGGTCCTTCATCAAAGGAGCAACAGAATAATTTCCCCTGCATTCTGAGTATACCCACCCCTCAGATCCTTTTCGCGTGAAGAGTAAAGACAGATCAGTAAGACGCCCTTGATTCAAGTCATTCAGAACTGATACATTAACCTCAGTTTCAAGCCACACGTGCCCCACTCACTTCAAAAGGGCCTCCAGCTCCCGCTTGACTCTGCCCACCACAGGTGGCCCCCAGTAGGTGAGGGCCGTGTACAGCTGCACCAGGCAGGCCCCCGCCTGGATCTTGTCCAGTGCGTCCTGCCCGCTGCTCACACCGCCAACCCCGATGATGGGAACTCTGCCTGTAGGGAAGCACAGGGCAACACCATGACGATGTGGGAACCAGGGGCTCAGCTGGGATCCAGCCCTCGGCCCACCTGCTGACTGCAGCGGTTCAGGGAACCCCGATTCTGATCACAGCCCCAGAACACGAGCCACACACAAATCCTTGACAGGGACACGGAATCCTTGCCTTGGGTGAGTGCGTACATCTCCCGGATGGTTTGCGTCGATAAGTCCCGGAGGGGCTTCCCACTCAGCCCTCCTGTTTCGGAGCGAAGGGCACCCTGAAGGCTGGCAGGGCGACTCACTGTGGTGTTCGTCACAATCAGCCCATCGATGCCCAACTGCGGTGTGAGACAGAGAGAGCTATCCAGTCAGGGCTCTGTCGGACTCGGAGAAGCTTCCCCAGGGGCTGAGATAGCCAGGTGCCCACACCCACAGCCCCCAAATCAAGGACTACCCCGGACTCACTATGCTCCTGAACAGGTGTCTAAACAAGCCTCGGCATGGCAACAGCTGCTGTCACATAGCAACCACCTAAAAAGCTCCCCTGGGACAGGGTTAGAATCCTCCTAACAACCCAAGGAGCAGCCCGGAGAGCCCAGAACTGCCCCTCTGACATTCCCATGGATTTCTGTCTGTTCTCAGTTGTATCACATTTACGAGCCACTAGTCTACCAGTCTCCAGGGAGTAAGCGATGGAACCAAGATTTGAACCCAGGACTACGGGGCTCGGTCTGTTTCCACTAATCTCCTTTGACACGGAGACCAGGTGCTAGACTGGAGAGAGAGGAACACAGGCGCGCTTTGGAGATACCACAGGTCCAGTTCCTGCCACAACAAGGCTAGTCTCACAATACAGCGAGTTGTAATCCCTTTCTGGTGGAGGGCCTGTGACATGCAACAAAGCAGGTATGCCTGTCCTCCACTCTGACCAAGGCTGGCAAGGACACAAGCCTGAAAGCCCCAGCTGGATGAGGAGGGAAGAGGCACCGAAAAAGATTCATTCAAACGTTTATTCAAGCATCCACTTTTATGAATTAAATCGTGACAAATACCAAACCAGCCCTCAGTATCACAGAGAAAACCACAGAGGCTGCGTCTGGGCAGAGTGAGGGCCCTCACCTCTCTCACCACCCCGGCAATGTCCTCCTTGTCCTGGGCCGTGAGGTCGGGTGCGATCTTCACCAGCAGGGCCGGCTTGTGCGCTCCCTTCAGGGCATCCCTCTCCTGCAGCACCTACAGCGACAAGTGGCCAGAGATGGGGACCCCTGAGACCACAGCTGGGGGTGCACTGTGACCTGCAGCGCAGACCAGTGTATTTTCACATCAGCTATCAAGCTGAAGCATGAGCAATTTCTCCTTCTTGGAAAACACAGCCCTCAGTTATGCACTCTTCCCCATCCAGGCAAACCTCATTCCATTCTCTTGAACCAAGAAATCCCCAGGACTGAGTCCCTAATGTGGTCATGGGCATCGGCTAATATATTGTGGCTTATTTAGACTTTTGTTTCTAAAAGACATAACAAGATTGTGTGATGAAAAGTCATTCAATTCATTCATTCATTCAGCATCCTAGGTGCTAGGGACAGCATGGTAAATGAAATTTATGGTTCCTTCATTGTTGAACTTGAGGGACAGAAAACTTAGAAATTAACTACTACTAAGCATCATCAGTGTTATGGTGGGGATGAGAGGCAGAGTGAGGGGTCCTAGCTGGTTGAAGTGTTAAGGACAGTCCTACATGGTGCCATGGAAGCTTGGCCCTGGAGAATGAACAGGACAGGCTGGAGGAGCGGGCTTTGTAGGAAAGCATTACAGGATTTAATGTAATTTCCCACCTTGGTCAGCAGGTGGCGCAGCTCATCCTTTCCCTGAAGGCTCCGCAGCCCTGCAGTGTTGGGACTGGACACGTTCACTACCAGGTAGTCAGCCAAGGGGCCCAGGACTCGAACCCCCTCTGCGTAGTCCGAGGCAGCATCCACCGAGGTCTTATTCTTCCCCAGGTTTATTCCCAGTGGCAGCCCACCTGCACATATCACTGGTCAAAATTTTGTCCCCACACACCATTTCCTTGACATGAACAGCCTTATAGGCCTTCCCCCTGCAATGTGAACTTCGAACACCAGCTGACAAATGCTACGATATCCTGCTCGGTGCTGCTGCCTGCGACCAGGAAACAGCTCACCATCTTGTCTGCGTAGCAATGTTGGGGCAACCACTAAGACATTTTACTGCATTGTGCCCTTATTCTTTTTTCCCCCTCATCTGAGGATATTTTTTCCATTGCTTTTCAGAGAGTGGAAGGGAGGGAAGAGGGAGAGAGAGAGAGATAGGCAAAGAGAGAGAGAGGGAGAGAGAAACATCGATGTGAGAGAGGAGACCCATCGATTGGTTGCTTCCCATACATGCCCTGCAAACCCGCAAACCAGGTTGGCCCCTTGCCCGAGAATCAAACTCGGGGACCCTTTAGTGCAGGCTGACGCTCTAACCATTGAGCAACACCGGCCAGGGCATACACTTGTTGTTTTAAAAATTTTGATGAAAAATGGAGAAATTCGGAATGCAAATACTAGTGACAAAAAAGGTAGGGCTCATAAATGTAATACAACCGAGAACAGACAGAAATCAATAGGAATGTCAGGAGGGGCAATTCATGACTCTCAAGGGCTGCTCACTGGACTTGGTTTGAATGACTGCGCGTGCAGTTGTGAAGAAAACCCAAAATTAAAGACTATGTATAAAATATTGGGAAATATCATTTTCAGTTATCATGTAGACGTATCATTGTTTTATTTCAGTTTTCTGAGAAGGGCCTCCCTCTATAACTAGGGTGATCGCACAGCCCAGTGCTCCCCGGATGGCACTGATTAGTCCTGTAGCCTGGGCATATTATTAATTCACTCTCAAAAGTGTCTCAATTTGAACAGTAATACAGCCAGCCACCTTACTGAAAAATCCATTGGATTATGACATGTCTTGCATTTTGGACTTTCCAAAAAACACATTTCAGTAACAGGCTTTGTATGAGAAAGCATGGCGTTTTCTCCTAAAAACACCATCTTATCTGCAAAGGTTAATGGTATGTCAGTGGTACCAGCTGCTTTTCCATCTGACGGTTGGGAAAAAGACCTGAGACATCAAGTTAGTGCAGTAAACTTGGGTCAGGTAAAGGAAGATCAAAGAACATCATCCAGTCCTGCTGACTACCTTCTCATACCCTACAGTATCACCCTGTTATCATCAGCTTGCAAGTAAATGACATTTGTGTAGCTAATTGTGTGTGTGTTGCAGGGGCAGGGGGTGGTGCAGTTAGAACCCAGTGGGCAAAGGTTATACAACATGATGTCCTAGCTTTCCAAATCTGGCCTCCATCAGCCAAGGGCATTTGTAAGTTCTCATTCTTTTTCCACACAAAGAAACTGGCCTGAAAGCAGTATCGCTTCCACGTAGCTAACGGATCTTTCATTACTAGTCATCTCCCCACACTGACAAATTGCTGAATTACTCTATCCCCCAGGGGCACCACAGCCTTTGTCAGCTCCTGTTCCTTGGCATGGCACCAGCAATAAGCTGTCCTCAGGCTTCTAGCTGCTGGGAAACTCTGTGTGCAGAGCTCTGCTATGGGATTTTGCTTCACTCCAGAGAATATTAGCACCAGAGCGAGGGTGAGAGGATGGGCAAGGGAGAACGGGGAGAAAGCTGGTATGAAGAGCGCTGTGGACGGCCAAAAGGAAAGGGAGGCAGGAGAGTATCACAACCATGAAAGTCATACTATGACCTTCAGAGTTCCCCAAACAGCAAGGTGTGTAGCATAGCAGGCTCTGGTTCTGCCAAAGCCACAGATTTCCAAACAAGGGCACTTCCTACTCCCCACACCAGAGACTGCTGACAGCCTCAGCCCTTTCAACCTCACTCACCACCAAGATTTCTAATGAGACTAAACCCTCCTGGAAGAAGGCCTGTAGTGACCCAACGAGGGGAGAGGCCGCAGCCCCAGACAATCCCCGACAGCACGTGGGGAGGTGGGGAGGACAACAGCACTGCGACCACCAAGTGCGTCCTGAGGGCCAGCGAAGCTGGAACGGGTGGTGGTCCAAACTCCCACATGCCAAGAGTCGTTACCCCTCAGTGGAGGAGGATGTCAGTCACTTAATTGTCTTCTCCATGCTTCTCTGTGGTTAGCAACGCTCTGTAAATCTACTATATAAGGGCCACAGGACAGCAGAGCAGGACAAGGAAGTTGGTGCTGGAGCCTGCCCACAGCTTAGCTGCCTCTGAGATCACACAGGCGCCACTCCGCTCTGCTCACTTCCAGGCTGGCCCGGTGAAGATATAACATGGCTTCCGTAACTTGGCTACATTGCGAAATTCTGTTAAAATCTTGGAAACTGTGGAGCCAAGAAACCAGAAAAATTCCTCTAGGAAAGAGCCCTGAGTTCTGCAGTGTTTTTTTCAATTGCTCAATCCTAGTTATGTCACCAGGAATGTCCCTGATGTTTCTCCCACAGGTTTCCTTCCAACAAATGAAGGAAGCCCCTCTCAGGCAGCCCCACTTTACCTTCTGTGAGTCTGGCCTGCGTCTGCTGTCTGGCCCGTAACCTGTGTTCCACCACCGAGAGCCCGTGACTGTTAAATCCGTATCTGTAACACACGCAGAGGGGGAATGGACAGGTGAGAGCCCTCAGCCAGAAGGCAGACTGCAGACATGGCTCCATGGCCGTATGTGTGACTTTCAAAGACAGAAAAGAAAAGGAAAAGTCAGTTCTTAAGACTTCCAAGGTCTAAATGCCCCTGGACTTCCTAGAAGAAAGTCCCCACTCCTTACCTATGCACCCCTCCACCCAGTGGAGCCGTCACCACTTTGACAACCCCTTCTTCCCATCTCCTGCCTGTGTTCCATGCATGCACCTCCTGGGACCCATCCTGCCACTCCATCTCCCCAGCCCGTCTGCCGATTAAAACCGTCCCCTCTTCCTGGCCCAGATCAAATGCTCCCCAGCCTCAAATGATTCCTCGCCTCTTGGCACTCACTGAGCGCTTTGTACTAGTCTTTTCCTGGCGTGAGATGTATGCATATGCATGCTTAAGTTCCCCTCCGGGTCATCATCCTCTTGAGGACAGGGACATGTCATCACCCCGCCACTAGACTGTCCACAAAGGCAGTGACCTCATCTCTGTCTCCCCAGTCCCACTGAGGGATGTTGCTCTGATGGCCACCCCGTCTCCCTTCCTCCCCTGAGACTGGGTGAAAATGGCAATGACTCCTTTCCCAGACCACTAGCAGTTGAAGCATGAACAAGTGACTGGGCGTGGTCACTGAGACACAGGAGCAGACTTTGGGGAGCTCCTAGGATGCCCCCACATCTATGCTTCCTTTTCCCTGTCTGCTCTCAGATGTCCACATGGGAGGACGTCATGCTTACAGCTGGGGTAGCCGTCTTACAAACAAGGGAAGGCCCAGAGAAGCTGGACCAGAGTCTGACATTGCCCAGCTGCTCAACCATCCCTGCAAGTGCCCACTACACCTGTTATGGGAGGAACATAATAGCAAGCGCCTGTAGTTTTTGTTTGTTTTTTATGTGCCTCAGGCATGAAACAGCTCTGGCCACCAACACGGGCATCAAGCTACGATGAACCAAGGGCTGTCCATCTGCTTTGCCCCTGATTGATATAAGAGCAGCACCACCAATCAGGTGTCTCCTTGCCCAGTGCCGGGGGACAAGCACCTATTGTTTAAGCTACTTGGTCACTTGCAGCGGAAAACACTGAACAGACACAGTGGCAGGTGCATTGGTTGACTGATGAATAAACTTATCCGTTCATTCAGCAAGAGTTTACTGAGCACCCACTGTGTGCCATGCAGAGCAAGGAGCTGAACCCACCGTGCTGCAGGGCACAAGCTCTCCTCTCAGCCATGTCTCCTCTAAGGGTTCCGCGAGCACCGGCACCCTGCTACCTGCAGCGACTTGGACGTGCTGGAGATATCGACCCCAGCCTGCAGTGCCGCAGGAAGATCAATAATCTGATCTCTAGTGCTGGAAAATTTCCCTGAAGCAAGCACAATCAAGCGGGAAGTGGCAGCCTAGTCCACTCCCCACAGGTCGTCTTCCAGAGGCCACAGTGGCCCCTCGGAGGCTCTTCAAAATTCTGTTGCCAAAAAGTAGGAACGTCTTCACTTTCTGGGCTTGCTGTACAGAAACTGCGCAGGGATTATAAAGAGGACTTACACACTCTAGAAGGATCTCTCTTACTAAAAGCAGCTGTGTATGTTGATCATTAAAATTTCCAGTTTACTAAAGTTGGGGCTGGGTTGTCCAACACAAGAGCCATAGCTACACGTGCCACTGAGCACTTGAAACATGAAGAAAAACACACACTGGATCTGGAAGACTTGGTACAAGGAAAAGTGGGTCAGTAGCTTATTAATCATTTGTACGTTGATTATATGATAAAATGATATTTAGAATATATTAAGTACTTAATTAAATAACAATATATATTACAAAAACCTAATTAGAATATATTACTGAGATTCATTACACCTACTTCTTTTTACTACTTTATCATAGCTAAAATAAATAGCTATTTTATCATAGACTATTTTATGTTACCTATGGGGTTTGCATTATATTTCTACTAGACAGCACTGGGCAAGGGCAATGGAGTAACAATGTGGAAAAAGCATGTTGACAGTCAAATAAGCCTAAATCTGTACCCAAGCTCTCCTGCTTATGACCTGTGGCTGAAGCTAAGCTGTGTTGTTCTCTGAGCCTCAGGGTGTATGTGTGCTAAACTGAAACCCCAAAACCTGCTCCTACGCCTGGCACATAGTAGGTGCTGCACCTGGTTCCTGACAATGACAGAAAAATGCCTGCATTGCCCTAACCGGTTTGGCTCAGTGGACAGAGCATCAGGCTGCGGACTCAAGGGTCCCAGGTTCGATTCCAGTCAAGGGCATGTACCTTGGTTGCGGGCACATCCCCAGTGGGGGGTGTGCAGGAGGCAGCTGGTCAATGTTTCTCTCTCATCAATGTTTCTAACTCTCTATCCCTCTCCCTTCCTCTCTGTAAAAAATCAATAAAATATATATTAAAAAAAAAAAAGAAAAGAAAAATGCCTGCATCACAGACAGAAAGAACACCCCGAGGTCCCTGCTGGAGGAGGCGGCCCTGTTACCCTGAGCTGCTCACCTACCTGTTAATGACGGCTTGGTCCTCGGGGAGGCGGAAGACTCGCGGCCTGGGGTTTCCTTCCTGAGGTTTTGGGGTGACGCTGCCTATCTCAACAAAACCAAAGCCCATCTTGTACAGTCCGTCCACAGCCTCCCCATGCTTGTCAAATCCTGCGGCAATTCCTACTGGATTTCGGAATTTATGGCCCAGGACTCGCACTTCCTAGGGAGAGGGAGACAAAGTCAGGTACACAGGCCAGACCAGTGTTTCTCAGGGTGTGGCCTGGCACGCCTCTATCCGATTTCCCTGGGGGGCTTGTTAAACAGCCTATCTTCAGTCTAAGGCAGTGGTTCTCAACCTGTGGGTCATGACCCCTTTGGGGGTCGAACGACCCTTTCACAGGGGTCGCCTAAATACATCCTGCATATCAGATATTTATATTACGATTCATAACAGTAGCAAAATTACAGTTATGAAGTAGCAACGAAAATAATTTTATGGTTGGAGGTCACCACAACATGAGGAACTGTATTAAAGGGTCGTGGCATTAGGAAGGTTGAGAACCACTGGTCTAAGGAATCAGATTCCTTGGGGGCCAGCGGGGCAGAATGGAGCTCTGAGCGAGTCTATTTCTAACTGCTCTCCGGGCGATTCTGACGCCTGCTGGAGTTCAAGACCACTAGGCGTTATCCTCCACCAGCAAGAGTGAGGAGAAAAACAGGGTTTCCACCACGGTGCAGCAGGAGGAGGACACTGTCTCTAGTGGCGGGGAATCCCTGCTTATCCACTGTCCTTGGTGGAAGAGAGTGGCCTGCTGGTGTCGGCCCCCTAGTTAGTGCTATTTGAAACAGTGTCAAGCAGCAAAACCCTTGGATCAGCCTAGAATGTCAGCCTCAGCTGCGTCCCTCTCAGCCAGGCAGACTCCAAGACCCCTGTGGGGCACCAGACGCCTTCACCACCTCCTAAATAATGAGCTGCTGAAGGCGGGACCCACACAGCGGTGTTGGGGATCGCAGCTCAAAGGCCACACTTCTCTCCATATTGGCGATGTTTCCCTAGCTTGGTACCTCACCCAGCCGTAACCTCACTGCCTTCCAAACCCACCCATCTCCACAGCCCCCTTTACTCCCCCCTGCTACCCTGGTTCCAGGACTCTCAGCTGGCCATGGGGATGAGGAAAAGAGCGCTCTGATCCCACAGTGCCTTTCAGTGTGGGGAGCTGGGTAAACACATCTGCTCAACACTGCAGGACGGGGAAGTGACAGGGACCCTGAGACCAAAAGGGAAGATGCAGACAACGGCCGCTTTGATTTACAACAGCGACCCTTCCCCGAAGAGTGCTTCTTGCCTGCTGTCTTCATGTTCACGTCATTCTGATGTCCCCCCGTTTGGTAAGAAGTCTCTCGGATGGAAACTGCCAGGGCTTACACGAGGACACAGATGCTAGCAGGAGGTGATTCTTCTGTTTGTTTAGCTGCAGGAACCCCAGCACCCAGAGCAGTAACAGGCACACATGGGCCCTGTGCGAACGCAGGAGTGAATAACCCTGGGATGGATGTCTGTGTGCCTTCCTGGAAGGCTTGGCTACACATGCCTGTGTCACAGTAGGCGTTTAATGACTGGTATGTTTCCCTATTTCGCAGAGGTGAAGACTGAGCCACCTGACCTCAGCAAGGCAGGCCAGTGGCTACGGGGACAGCTGCCAAGTCAGACTCCAAGGGTCTGAATCCTGGCTCATCTACTCCCCAGCTGTGTGACTTCGGATAATTCACTTAACTCCTCCGTGCCTCAGTTTCCTGATCTGTAGATGGGGATGACAGCTTTTTTAATTGGGGCTAACTTGGGACTCTGCTGTTCAGAAGGCTCAGCCCCCACTGTGTAAGTCAGGGGATGTTGACCTTGTATTGTACAAGGTGTCCCAAGAGGACCTACCAGCATGTCGGAGTCTTGAAATGTGACACGAGGAAGGAGCCCCAGGGAGGTGACACGAACAGCCAGCCTGTGGGCTGACTCGGGGTCCAGCAGCCCCTGCAGAGTCGGCATCAAGTGTTCAGCGTAGAAATGCTCATCCCCCGTGGCCGTCAGGTAAGAGGCGAAGAGCAGTCCTCCACCCCCCAGGATGACCAAGGCATCCTGGGCCCGCTTCTGGGGGAGAAAAAAAGCCCATTGGCCCTCAGAGCCAGGCTGCAGCACCTTCCCTGAGCCCTTTAAACCCCCACGCACAGAGGACACAATGACATGCCACATGGCGCAATACTCCTAGCTCTTTGCCAGCACAGGTCTCCCTCCTTTCCCAATAAACACAAAAACCATCTCCCGTATTTTCATACGCATTGGCTTTTCCAGGAATACAATGACCTTGTAAATGGAGGGCCTGTACTAGTTTGCACAGAACATTACCAAGAAGTGTTCCCTGCCGAAACCGGTTTGGCTCAGTGGGTAGAGCGTCGGCTTGCGGACTGAAAGGTCCCGGGTTCGATTCCGGTCAGGGGCATGTTCCTGGGTTGCGGGCACATCCCCAGTGGGAGATGTGCAGGAGGCAGCTGATCAATGTTTCTCTCTCATCGATGTTTCTAACTCTCTATCTCTCTCCCTTCCTCTCTGAAAAAGTTCAATAAAATATATTAAAAAAAAAAAAAGAAGTGTTCCCTATTTCAGAAAATCCATCAGGAATGGTAAGGTGCTTTGCTTGGGGTGTTTGACAAACATACCTGTGGCACTAGAATTTCTAAGCAGAGGCTGAAACACTTGACTATTTCACTATCTAGGTGTCATGCCCTACCATTTACACACTGAAATGCATATTATTTTAAATTACTTTCATTTCTCCTTTATATTCTAATTAGGACATTAGAATGACTTTTAAAATCACACACAGGAAGATTACATTATATATAAACTCCATCTCAGAATCATAAAGGGAGTTGCAAATTTTTTTTTTAAAAAGGAGCATCAGGGCCGAAACCGGTTTGGCTCAGTGGATGGAGCGTCGGCCTGTGGACTGAAGGGTCCCAGGTTCGATTCCGGTCAAGGGCAAGTACCTGGGTTGCGGGCACATCCCCAGTGGGAGATGTGCAGGAGGCAGCTGACCGATGTTTCTCTCTCATCGATGTTTCTAACTCTCTCTCTCCCTTCCTCTCTGTAAAAAATCAATAAAATATATTTTTTAAAAAAAAAGAAAAAAAATAATAAATAAAAAGGAGCATCAGGTATTATTAGGTCAAGAACCATTCTCCCAGAGGAGGGGTCAATGGGGGAAAAGCGGGACATGTGTAATATATTCAACAATAAAGATAAACTTAAAAAAAAAACACCATTCTCCTAGTTCAACCATGGTTCCTAATACTTCAATTATCACTGCCAGATGCTGGGTCATTCATTCGTTAATTCAGTCATTCATAGATGGGCTAATCAGTGAGTCCTTGCCTTCTGGGGAATACGATCTCATGAGACGGAAATCAATGATCATGTAAATATATAACTACAACTGCTATGAAGAAGAAGGTATAGGGTAAGAAGAACCGAACCTAACCTCAGAGGTAGAGGAAGGCTTCCTTGGGGAAGTGCCACTAATATTCCAGGGATCAGCGGGAGTTAACCAGGACGCAGTGGGGGAGGGAAAGCGCAAAGGCTCTCCCCTGGCAGAGGGGAATGGGGGAGGGGGGAGGTTCGTCTGGAACCGAGGAGTTAAAGCAGTGATTCCCAAAGTGGTGGGCGCTGCAGCGATCCAGGGGGGCGGTGATGGCCACAGGTGCATTTGTTTTAACTTTTTTTGTATTACCTTTCTATTCTGAGTTCAATAAATAGTTTCATAATTTCAAACTTCAATGTTTCTAATTTACACCTTTCTTTACTATATTTTACGAAAAAGGCAGAAACATTAATACATATATCTTTCTGTTTAATTGCTATTAAAATTTTAAAAAAATTAATTTCCAGGGGGCGCTGAGTAATATTTTTTCTGGAAAGGGGGCGGTCGGCCAAATAAGTTTGGGAACCACTGAGTTAAAGTATGGCTCAAAGAGAAGCTGGGAAAACAGGCAGAGATCTTGGCCAGAATAAAGATCTGGGTTTTGTTCACAGGTCACATTTGCCTTTAAGGATCAGACATAGCTGCTAATGTAGATCCAGTATTCGCGGTCTTACTTCTGGTCTCCAGGCTGTAGGAACGCCCCTGCATGTCAATCAACAAACACCAGCACCGTTACACGGAGCCCCCGCCCTGCATTCTGTCCAGACGGGTTGGGAGCAGGTCTTGTGACTTCACTGCACGTTGGAAGCTGCACGCAGTGCTGGGCCGTCATGTAGTCACTGGCCCACGAGTGCTGACAAAGTCTGGCGTCTACGCGGACACACACGTGCCGTTTACACACAGACCAAGTACATGTGTACAAATGCACACGCACGACCCTTTGCAGAGACACCCAGACGTGCCCGACGCTCTCGGAGCGGCCTCCCGTCCACACCTCGCCCCGGCTACCCCTGTATTCCCCGCTAGCCCTGCCCTCGCCGACTCTTCCTCGGCCACGCGACAAACCCAGTTTCCACACTCACTTTCAGCTGTGTCCACGCCATGGTCCTCTCGCCACTGGGCCCGCCTCTGCCTCATTTCCATTGGAGGAGGTGGAGGGACACCGCTCATCTCCGCCCCCGGAGCTGCCAATTCACCAATTGCCGGGCAGAGGGGTGGAGCCGGCGCCTCTGGGCGGGGGAAGGCGGCGCTCCGCCCTCAGGCTCTGGTTGGACACGGACAAGCGCGCGCGCGCGCGCGCAATCGCAGCGGCCACGGCTTTTCCGCCTGCTCGCCCGCCCGACTTCCGGCATCCGCGCCGGGCGCGTAGGAGGGCCCTGTGCACTGAGGTGGTTCGCTGAGCTGAGTTCGTCTGTGGTTCTGCAACCTGGACAGAAAGTACTTATATGTTGATATTCGGTTCTTAGCGACCCAGTCACCAATTTCTTGACCTTTTCAGTTGAAGACTGTATTGGCATGCCTGTGCTCTAGATAAAGCATGTACTGAGAAAGCATCAGGCGCTGTAAAAAAGGGTCGGCATGAATTGCATCGCTGGGTGAAATACCCGTGTAGACTTCAAAGAAGATGCCAGCAACTTCAGGTTTCACTGAAACATGCCTAAAACGAATGTATGTCTGTGTACATGTCCGAATGTTTATGAGGATGTTGGAAAATCAAGACCATAGGTGACTTTACGGTTGGAAGTATCCTGCCCCGGAACCATTTCTCTGTAGCACAGGCTTGGCGGACTCCTCCGCTCAGAAACCTTGCTCGCGTTTGAATCCTTTCAGTCTTGTCATTTCAGTTCTCACTACTTTCTCCCAAGGACACCCACACGGACCCGCACAGAGGATTTTTTCTCTATAAATTCCTGCCACTTTCCCACTTCTGTGCGTTTACTCACATTGGCTTCTCCGCCAAGATGCCCATTCCATCTAAAGACCATCCTATGTGTTCAAGTGCCGGAAATGGTTCCCTCGGCCGAACCTTCATAGGTGGAAGCTGTACCTCTCTAGTAGCACTTTCTTTATTAACTAAACTTACATTTTTATTAAGTGCAATTATGTCTTTCCTAATTAGACTGTAGACTTTTGAATGTAGGAACTAGACCATATTAATCTTTCACTTGGTTAATGTAGTATTTTTTTAAACAGGGATGTATTGGGGTCTATACTTCAGAGAATTTTTAATTTTGGTACCACGTTCATTTTGGTTTTAAAGAGTAATGTAAGTATCAGTAGGATAAACAGCTGAACCCTGAAACCTGCCAAGTGATTCCAGTGCCCACATTTATTTGTGTTTATCTCCCATTTTGGCACCAAGAAAAAGAACTGGTTAAGAACATAAATGACAGATGTGCTGCAGGTGAGGATCGAGTGGCATGTATGAACAGAGGTTTTTCAGCAAGTTAAAGAAAAGCAACGAGAGAATTGATTCTTCCCTACTGCGTGACCAAGTCAAAAGGACCTATGTGGCTGTAGGCCAGAACCATGTGTATTTAACAAGTGGCTATTTAGTTCAGCAAATTTTAATTTCACTGGTTTTCAGTTGTGTTTGTACTTAATCTGTATTCATTCCTTCATTAAATATTTATTCTTTGGTTTTTATGAATATAAGATTTGGGGTATAGTTAAATAAGAGATTTAGGATAGAGTGAATGTATTTAAGAAACAGTACGACAATTTAAATTCATAGCTTTCCTTTTTTAAAACAAAATAATACATTACTCAATTTTTAACAACACTGACTTAGATATTCATCATTCTCTGCTTCCTTACAGCTTAGATTGAGCAAATAAAGATCTATTCTAAAGCTGAAGGCATATCCAGTTGTGTAAACACAGATGGTAGTGCCCCAGCTATAAAGGCCCATTGCTTTCTTACTCTGTTTGTTTTCAGCTTATAGGAACTCCACCTGGTCCCTAAAACAAAACAAAACCTTTTTTCTCCTTGACTAATTATTCCCAGTTCCTAAGAGAATAATAGAAATGAACAAGACAAACTCACCAAGAATATAAAGGGCCAAGGCAGCGTCTGAGCCTCCACACTTTTTGTGCTCACAATTCACAGAGAAAATGTTATTCAAGAGAAGAGCCTGCCTGTGGTTGTACCTCAGCACAAGCTTCATTCTAGGAAGCGAGCTGAGCAGCCCAGAGCACCGCGGTAAAAGTTACTGTTATCAGCTTCACAGGTTTCACTGCAGCTTTACGGAAGCAGAAAATTACTGCCGTGCCCTGGGAGGACACCTTGCTTACACTTGGAACCAGAAGGTTCAAGATCTCATCTGGGACTTTCTGGAAGAAGGAAAGAAGTGGTGGGTTGGGCAAAATGTAATGCTGCTGGGGAAAGATCAAGAAAACAACCCAAGTAAGGCTCTGAGGTTTGATATTTATGAGGGAAACTTCCTTACTTTTATTCAGGAACAGGAGAAAGAAAACATTTAAGTCTTTCTGCTTTTGTATACAGAAAAATCAGTCATTTTACTCATTACCATCATTCCTCTGCAATATTTCTACTCTTCTGCTGCAGCCTTTGATTTGTCTGTGTAGCAAAGATGATGGGATTTTCTCAGAGCCTATCAAAAGTTAACTTACCTAATAGTTCACTGAAAATACTGTGCAAGATTCTGAAGTGGGAAACCTTTTATGGTCATTTTGTAAATATCTCTTCATCATTCTTGGCTCCAAGTTCTCTAATGCAGAAACTAGGAGAGAAATTGTTCACCTGTTGTCTTTCTTAGATAGATATTTTCAAAATTATGTACCATAATCTTGGGGTCTTAGAGAAAACTCCAAGGCATTTGTGTCCTAAGTATCTTCATTAAAGTCTAAATAAATTAATGCCTAGCTTTATGACAAAGACATAATATGAAAAAATAATCTATAATATATGTGGTGAGGGAACCTAACTTTTCATCTATTGAAAGGTAGCAAAATTTGGTTTTCATATATATATTTTTTTTCTTCTAATCCTCACTAGAGGATATGCTTTTACTGATTTTAGAAAGAGGAGAGAGAGAGAGAGAGAGAGAGAGAGAGAGAGAGAGAGAGAGAGAGAGAGAAAAGCATGGATCAGTTGCCTCCCTAAGGGATTGAACTCATAACCTAGGTAAGTGCCCTTACTGGGAATTGAACCAGCAACCAGGTCACACCATTGCTATATTTATTACACCAAGGCTATATTTATTTTTTTAAATGTTTGACTTTTTGTTAACCAATGTCATCCCAATAAATTCAGTAAAAGTTTTTTTTTAAATGTTTGACCTTTGAATATGAAGCTCATCTGGGTCTGGTCTTCCTTCTGCAGATGTCACAGCCGCCCGAGCCACCAAGCCTACCAGCTGCACTTACGTGTCCAGAAAGTCCAACCGGGTCTCATCAAAAGTAGACTTGTGCTCCCTGGGGCATTATTTCATTTGCCAGGCTGGTAAGTGATGAAGCTACCTGCTGCCAAAGACCTACCTTTATTATTATTTTTTAAATGGACTTTTATTGATTTCAGAGAGGAAGGGAGAGAGAGATAGAAACATCAGTGATGAGAGAGAATCATTGATCAGTTGCTTCCTGCATACCCCCTACTGGGGATCACGCCCACAACCAGGGCATGTGCCCTGACCGGGAATTGAACCGTGACCTCCTTGCTCATAGGTCAACGCTCAACCACTGAGCCACACCAGCTGGGCCAAAGACCTAACTTTACTAGAAGAAACTGATTCTAAATAAGGAGAGTTTGTGAGAGCATTAGTTAGCAAGTCCCTGAGTGATAGGCCTTAGGAGGGATATAAGGGTCTTGATTTTCATGGTTTTGGCTAGGGTGAGAAACTGTTCATTTGGAGTGACTTCCTTACCCATCCTACTCTCATAGTAGAAAAGAGCTGTGCCTTGATGTTCCCTTAATGGCTGGACTTGGGCAGAGTGAGAGAGAAAGTATACTTGTAGAATTGGTAAGCCCCATTTTCCACATGTGAACCCCTAATCCATTCAGTATTTGGGCTTTAGAGGGTAGAATAGGAACCAAAGGAGGAAAAGAGAATATGGTGAAGGAAAATGAGAAGATGAGGGGTGAGGAGATTTTAATCAGTTAGAGGTTTCTTTTCTCAGAAGTAGGTGAGAATTAAGGTGTGTGGTTACATAAAGCATTATTCTTAGCTCAGTGAACTGTCAGAGACTTTATGATGTCCCGGCTTGTCAAGGTAAAAATTTGTTTCACTTTTTTAAAATTAAATCTTTATTGTTGAAAGTATTGCATATGTCCCCTTTCCCCCCATTGACCCTTTCTAGCCCGCCTCCATCCTCGTTTCACTTTTTTAAAAAATCACAAATATATTCTTTCGAAAATACAAAGCACGTATAGGTACTTCATTAAACACAGTACATTGCAGTATTTCTTTATTACAAGATGTATTTATCTATTACAGTATTCCTCAAATACTGGGTATTGAGAGGACCCAGTATTTTAACGTAATGGATTTCTAGCTTCAACTCTCTCCTTCTTACCCTTTCAAGCTCTTTGTGAGATTTTTGTCCTGTTTTACAGTATAATGTGCTAGTGTTATTGAGGCCAAGGTTGTGAGCCTAAACTCTGCACAAGTCTACTGGTTATGTGTTTCATTCTGACAAACTGCATCCCTAGTATTGGCCGTCTTACAGTTGTGAACTGTTTTTCATCATCTCCAGGACTGGAAAAGCAACTCCTAATTAGCCTAAATGATGATGATATTCTACCCATCTTTCACTCTCCAAGAGTTGAGTTTTTAGACATTCTCAGCTACTCTTGGTTTTGGAGTGAAAATGTCTTTTCTGATATTATCATTCATCCACTTGCAAGAGATTACTCTATGGAGTGTAGAAAGCTGTGCAGAAGATAATCTTAGACAAAAAAAGAATTCTATTCAATTCATCTAAGCCAGTTCTGCAAATTCTGAGCCTACATTCCCACAATGAGAGGAAGTCCGTTACTGCAGCTAAGAGCGAGGGCTCAGGAGTCATGATCATGGGTCAGAGTCCTGAGCTCAGATCTTGTTTTTCTGACTTTCCACTTGTGACACCTGGGCAAGCAACTTAGCCGCTGTGCAGCCCAGTTCCCTCCAAAGGACTGTTATCAGAATTAAGATAATGCAAGTGGAGCATTAGAACAATGCCTAGCATAATATTGTCATTATTACTGTTCATATTATTGGGCAATTTCTATTTTTTGTTCAAAGTTTATTTTCTGCTTCTAGATAGCTTCACACTCATGTCTAAGGTGAAAACACTTTGGAAATCCAATATTGCTAGTTACCTTTAAACTAAAGTATTTCACCATGTAATTGCGTTAGAGGTATTTTGAAATAACTAGTGTTGTCACGGTGTGTATACATTTTTTATTATGAATTTAAGAAATGCCTCTTGCAAAACAACATGTGGGTGAGAGAAGTATTTGCAAATTTGTTCCTTAACATTCAAGAGAGAAGTCTAATACTTTGTATTATCGTACAGTGTTACTGAGGTTACAGATTGACGTTTGCACACTGAATAGTTGAACTCAGGATCTCTCTTTTTTTAACCAAAAAAAAAAGGCACTTAAGCCCTGGCTGGTTTGGCTCAATGGGTAGAGTGTCGGCCTGCGGACTGAGAGGTTCCGGGTTCGATTCCAGTCAAGGGCACATGCCCAGGTTGTGGGCTCGATCCCCAGTGGGGGGCAGCCGATGAATGATTCTCTCTCATCATTGATGTTTCTATCTATATCTATATCTTCTCCCTTCCTCTCTCTGAAATCAATAAAAATATTTTTAAAGGCACTTAAACTTACATATAAAATTATTCATTCCTAAGAGATTTTTATTTTCAGTGTCAGAATGAGAAGTGGTGATTTGTGTTAAAAGTGGTATGTGTTGTAATAGAATTGATATTCAGCTGAGTGTACCAAGTTTTCAGACTGGTTGTGAAAACTTTAAACTACTTCCATGCTATTGGTAAAGTAAAATAATAGCACAACCACAGTACCTCAAACTAATTATCGTAGGGTGACATGACAACCATTAATAAATGTAGTTCTGTCTTGGCGACATCTGAAAATATCTGTAGCACTCTGCCATTTGGGATATGGTCACAGTCTTGCCCATCCTTTGAAACACTCCCTGCTTTAGGAGAGTCATCAGTTGATCATTATCCTCGAATTGCATATTTGCTGCTACTACTAAATGACTTGGCTTTGACTTTGTTCTTGTTCCAGCAGTCAATGTGTGATGTTTTGATATTTATAAATTCAGTAGTTTGTAATAAAACATTAAACACAAGTTCCCACAACTCCTAGTGAAAAAAAAAATGGATCTAGGAAATAATCATGAATGACTGCTAACATCAGAAAGAGAGAGACAGATACTGTGTGACTCCTGAGGGACTACTTGACACCACCTATTAAGTAATTTTATTTTTAAAAAAATAGAACTTGAAACTGCTCAAGCTCTATGAGCTAACCATGTATATGAACACTTAAAGCACCTTTATTTGTAATAGCTCCAAACTGGAAACAGCCCGGGTGCCCTTCAACAGGTGGTTGGTTAAGCAGCTGGGGTACATCCATACTACGAAATACTATTCAGCAATAAAGAAAAACAAACTATTGATGCATACAACAACATGAACAACATGAACTAATCACCAGGGAATTATGCTGAGTGAAAAAAAGCCAATTCCAAAAGGTTACATACTACATGATTTCATTTATTTAATATTCTTGAAATGAAATGACAAAATTATAGGAATGGAGAACAAATTAGTATTTGTCAGGGGCTAAGACGGGAGTAAGGGCAGGAGAGGAAGTAGGTGTACAAGTTCAGATAATTTTAAGGGAATTTTGCTCAAGAGCAGGAATGAACTGAAGCTATACATAATTCCTGAGGGAATGAAAATTGGCGGGTTTTTTAAGACAGGAAAAAAAGTCTGCTAGGACAATGCTCTTGACCCAAACAGTGTGCAACTAGAGGGGTTCACTTTGTGTAGGAGCGCGGAAGGTTGGTAGTAACGAGAGAGAAGGCGGTATCTGTGGGGACGGATGCTTGTGGGGGGCAGATTTGGTGGTAGGAGTCTGTGGAAAGGACTCTTAATTGTTTCCATTTTCCCCTTGAGGCAGAAAGCAAAGTTATGACTTGACCTGAGAATGAGGATCAGGGAGACTCCTAGTTGTTGGAGATTTGAGTAGAGGACAAAGTGGGAAAGGGTTATCTCGGAGAGTGGAAGTGGGACTAGACAGGGGGAATACAGTATCATTGCCTGGGGCTCATGACCCTGAATTTAAGCTGAGATGCAGTCAGTGAAGTGGTATGATTTTGTCTAGCCATGTTCAACAGCATGAGGAGAAACACCAAATGCACGCAAGGCACGTTCAAGAATATTATTGCCGCCCTAGCTGGTTTGGCTCAGTGGATAGAGCGTCAGCCTATGACTGAAGGGTTCCAGGTTCGATTCAAGTCAGGGGCACATGCCCGGGTTGTGGGCTTAGTCCCCAATAGGGGGCGTGCGGGAGGCAGCCAATCGATGATTTTCTCTCATCATTGATGTTTCGATCTCTCCCTTCCTCTCTGAAATCAATAAAAATATATTTTAAAATAAAGAATATTATTGTCCACCTTCTCAACTCTTTTATCTCTACCAATAGGAATTAAAGACCACAAAAGAGAATATTATGCTTAGAATGTAAATTCTTAAAATGAACTTAATTCTCTCCTACAAGTGTTGACCAGTCAGTGGGCCTAATTTTGAGGTGTTAGATCATATAAGGTTATGTCTGTGCTCCAGAGCAAAAGAGCTGCCTCAGAAGTCTTACGTTATTACTCTTTTTAAAAAAAATAGATTCTGATCTTTAATTTGTGTTTTCTTGATTATCACATATGTGCTTGTAATAGTTATTTTGTAGACCTACAGTTAGAGTTGTATCCTATAAATTAACTCCAAATAGATGTCTTTTCAGACCAAGATACAAGTTATGAAAGAAATGGAAATAATTCTCATTCACATCGGAGACCCAAAAAGACAAAAAGAGAAGTCGCAATACCAAGAAACAAAATGGCCTCAGGTAATGGGAAGTGAAATCAGTGACTGCCTTAAAGGATGCACAAAACAATTCATACTGAAATGTGTCGTCATCACAGGTACCCAGTAAATATCCATGACACTCTCTTTTCTCTCATCTCAATATTGCAATCTTTGCTTTCATTTATAAATTCTTATTTTCTTGATATTCCTTTGCCCGTCTTTTTTTACATATACCCAAGTGAAAGACAGTTTTTTTCTACAAATGTTCCATCAAAAAAGAGAGGCTTCTAGCCCAGCCTGTGTAACTCAGTGGTTGAATGTCGACCTATGAGCCAGGAAGTCACGGTTCAATTCCTGGTCAGGGAACATGCCTGGGTTTCAGGCTTGATCCCCAGTAGGGGGTGTGCAGGAGGCAGCCAATCAGTGATTCTATCTCATTATTGATGTTTCTATCTCTCCCTCTCCCTTTCTAAAATCAATAAAAATATTTTTTTAAAAAGAGAGAGACTTCTAGAAGTCCTTGCAAAGTCAAGTTGCAGTGTTCTCTCTCATTATTTTTTAATTTTGAAAAACAAATACTCTTTAGGGAAGATGCATTAGCCTGAAATGACCTCAATCAGTATCAATGTTGAATTATTATAGAGATCTCCTGATAGAATGGGTGAAAAAAGAGACTAATGTAAAGTGGATCTAGTGATGATTTTAGGGGTATGACCTCACAACTTCAAGTGTTAGATGTCCTTGTCAACAAGCCCTTTAAGTATCCCTTAAAAGAACAATTTAGAAAGTGTTATTATGGTAGAAACATGAATATATATTTAAAGGACAATGTAAAAATCAACTTTTCTGAATGCTTTGTAAGTGGGTACTTTTGAGTTGGGCCTAAGTGTTTAGTGATAGCATTAAATAGAAGTAAAGATGATATATTTTGGAAAACTTAAATAATTCCCAAAGTTCTTCAGATTATAATTAAAGCAATGATGATGAAGATGCATTTGAAAAATCTGAATAAACTTATGACATGAAATATGAGTTTCATGAAGCAATTTTTATAAATTAACATATATACATTTATATAACATGATTTTTAAATATGCCTTTATAAAATGAAATAAATAGACATTTGATGTTCCACCTACATCCTTCAAGTTTTTATATAGTCAAGTTTGCCCAGAAGTAACTTTTTAACAGTCTCATTGAGGGATTGCCCTATTTGGGAGGTTGCCTTATATTTATATAGATATGGTCCTTTACAAATTTTTGTGTTACTTTGCTTTAAGCATATTCCTATTAAGTTTCATATAAAGGCATCTAATTATTTTACTAACCCTGAGAATATTTTTATACCACATTTAAATTTATTTTAATAATAGAGATCCTTTCTGGTTCTGATGCTCCCTTGCAACTCTCTTCTGTCTTTTGTGGAAATTTTTTTCTTCAATATTTTGGTTTTAATTGTTTCCCTCTAAAAAGTTCTTTACAAAAACACATTCTTATACCTACATTTTTCTAATTGTCAAACCCAGGAATGAAAGTCTCTTGAAATCCCCTCATCTGGTTAAAGGAATATAGTTTATATTAGTTTTCTCCTCCCCACCCTCACTCCCTAGATCAGTGATGGCGAACCTTTTGAGCTCGGCGTGTCAGCATTTTGAAAAACCCTAACTTAACTCTGGTGCCGTGTCACATATAGAAATTTTTTGATATTTGCAACCATAGTAAAACAAAGACTTATATTTTTGATATTTATTTTATATATTTAAATGCCATTTAACAAAGAAAAATCAACCAAAAAAATGAGTTCGCGTGTCACCTCTGACACGCGTGTCATAGGTTCGCCATCACTGCCCTAGATCTTGTTAGTACATTCTGTGAGTTTTATTCAGGTTATTGTTATATTAAATTGTTTGTGTGTGTGTGTGTGTGTGCGTTTTTTTGTGTGTTTTGTTGTTGTTGTTGTTGTTAATCCTCGCCCAAGTATATTTTTCCATTGATTTTTAGAGAGAATGGAAGGGAGAGGTAGAGACAGAGAGAAACATCGATGTGAGAGAGACACACATTGATTGGTTGCCTCCTGCAAACATCCCAACCAAGGAACCTGCAACCAAGGTACATGCCCTTGACCGGAATCGAACCCGGGTCCCTTCAGTCCGCAGGCCGACGCTCTATCGACTGAGCCAAACTGGCTAGGGCTAAATTGCTATTTTTATATTATACTACTTCTCTTAAGAATACATTTTTTAAACTTTTATAAAAACCAGATTTCTAGTAATAATTTAGCACTTATTTCTATTTCACTGGTTTTGTGACTTTACTTTTCTTGAGTTCTTAATTTTGTCTCATTTCTACAATTGTTTTTTCAAGAAAGATCAACTGGTGGAAATATTTGGGGAACTTGTGAATAGTCAAAAGGGGTCTTTCTTGGCCCTTCCCAATGTTAAAAGGAAATTCTCCCCAGACAAGTTACTGATCTAGTAGACTTTAATTCAGTAATTTATAAATTGGGCAGTAGCCAATGTAGCAGATAGAGAGCTCTGAACAGCTGAACACGGCAAGAGATTTTTATAGACTTAAGTGAGCAGGGTTACTTTCCTTATTTGGAGCAAAGGGAAGCCTTGAAGTCAGACTATGTAATTTGTGCTGAACAGTCAAGCACTGATTGGTTGACGTTGGCCTGCCTCTTCTGCGAGAGCCAAACACAGAAACTTAAGTTTTGGTTTGCTGTAGTGGGGCTTAGCATGACTGACTGTATCTTGGGTCTAACTTCATTACCTTAACACCAATGAGCCATATTTTAGAAGAGTTCACAAGTTAAAACATTGGATCGTAGCTATATATCCTCCATATCTTTTCTGCCATTCTCATTTTCAAATATATTTTTTATTGATTTCAGAGAGGAAAGGACAGGGAGAGAGAGAGAGGAACATCAATGATGAGAGAGAATCATTGATCAGCTGCCTCCTGCACGCCCCACTGTGGGGATCGAGCCCACAACCCGGGCATGTGCTCTGACCAGGAATCGATGTGACCTCCTGGTTCATAGGTTGATGCTCAACCACTGAGCCACGCTGGCTGGGCTCAGCTCATTTATTTCACTTTTAATCTATCTCATTCTTGTGCATTTTAGCTTCAGCTGATTTATCTTTAAGACTTCCTGTTTCTATTAAGGATGTTACATAGCTTTCTAAGGATTTGGTTAAATAAATTTTTTTGCTGTTGATAATTTTCAGAGTTATGCTTCCCTCTGAGTCCCCTGGATTCAGTCCCCAGGTTCTATGCTAGTCATAGGCTCTCTTTTGGTTTGATTTTTTCCTTACCTTTGAAGGCAGGATCTGTCCAAACACAATGTTTGTCAGGAGACCAAGAAATTGGGTCACCCTTAGGTCGGCAGCCTGTTGGCTTATCTAGTGATCATAACCCCTTTCCACATCCACAGTTGACGTACAGGATGAGTTCCCTATTCCCAGCAAGCTGATGGCCCTGATCTGAGGTGATATTTTTCTCCGCTCTACCTCTATTGCTTTAATTTTCACATTGTCAGAGACTCTTACACCCATCCCCCAGATGAAGATATTAAGAGGTTAAGTCATTTGCTTGAGGCTTTTGAGTCCAGTTTCTTTCTCCCACCCTCCATCCTGTTTGCCCGGATGGAAAAACATAACATCTGATCAGAAGAACATCTCAGAATTCTGGGAGGCCAGCAGTCGGAGCCACAGTGATTCTGCTGCCAAATATACATGTCAGTCCTATGAACAATCGAGGGAATGTCACAAGAAAAGGTAAAGAAGGCCAAGTAGGCTGCCTGTAGCCAGCTATATTTTAAAACTCATGCCTTGAAAGAAGTCAACCAAAGTTAATAGCAAATAGGCATGTTAACCCACTAATATTGCCTTAGAGCATGGTTTCCTTACTGGAAAGTGTGGAAAGAGAATGAAAGCAATATGGTGATCTGGTAAAAAGTCTATCAGAAATATGCTCTGATTTATTAATAAACTAGAGGCCCGGTGCACAAAAATTTGTGCACTGGTGGGGGGGCAGTCCCTCAGCCCAACCTGCACCCTCTCGCAGTCCGGGAGCCCTCAGGGGATGTCCAACTGATGGCTTAGGCCTGCTCCCCCTGGTGGTTAGTGCACATCATAGCACATCATTCAGCCTTTAGGGTCAATTTGCATATTACCCTTTTATTATATAGGATATATTTATATAAATATACGGCTTCTCTTAAGAATACATTTTTGTAAAAGTTTGAGACAGATATTTCTGCAGTGATGTTTATATACTGGCACCTTTATGGTTGGTTTTATTTAATATTTATTTTTACACGGAGGATCTTTGAAGAGTAAGCAACAGGATGAGACGGTAGTGATTTGTCATGCTTTAGCTTCGGAATTCTAGCTGTACAGCTTCATCAACAGCAGAAAATGAGCCTCTGGTCTCCTATGTGATTTACATTTTTAGCCAAGAATAACAAATAAAATAGGAAAAAATATTTATATCCTAGGCTTTTACTTGAACTTAACATATTTTCATATATATTTATATTTATATTTATATTTATATTTATATTTATATTTATATTTATATTTATATTTATATTTAAAGCCCGGTGCACAAAATTTGTGCACTGGAGGGGGGAAGTCCCTCAACTTGACCTGTGCCCTCTCACAGTCCAGGAGCCCTTGGGGGATGTCCGACTGACGTGGAGGAGGGCGAGGCTCCCGCCACCACCACTGCACTTACCAGCCGTGAGCCTGGCTTCTGGCTGAGTGGTGCTCCCCGTATGGGAGCGCACTGATCACCAGGGGGCAGCTCCTGCATTGAGCGTCTGCCCCCTGGTGGTCACTGTGCATCATAGCAACCGTTTGTTCTGCTATTTGGTTGATTTGCATATTAGCCTTTTATTATATAGGAAGGAGGATATATTTTTATTGATTTCAGAGAGGAAGGGAGCGGGACAGATAGAAACATCAATAATGAGAGAGAATCATTGACTGGCTACCTCCTGCACATCCCCTACTGAGAATTGAGCCTACAACCTGGGCATGTGCCCTGACCAGGAATCAGGAATCAAACAGTGACCTCCTGGTTCAGAGGTTAAGCCACGTGGGCCAGGCCTAACCTACTTTCTTTTTTCTACAGGAGCCACTCATCATTCAAACAAATGTCACCAACCTGCTCTTGCTAATCCTGTAAGTACTTAACCTTCATAGCACACGTCTTGGAATCATGTTCTCTTTACCAGTCCTGGTGGGTCCTGCCAGAGCTCTACTTTGTCTCACAGAGTGCTCTGAATTATAGTTTTCTGATAAGGAAAGGAAAGTACGTAAGTGCAGGAAAGAGTCGGGTTTAATGGATTATTTATTAAAGACTATTTTAAAGCCTATCTTTTGGCTTTCATGCTGGTATTATTTTCTTTTGTTGGAGGTTTCTTTATTCCCTGCTTCATTCCAAAAAGAACTTGTGGCATCTTACAAAAATATATACAATGCAATAATTTTTTTTTTATTTTAAAAAGGAAAAATAAAGAAATTGAGTGAAAAGTAGAAACTCTGCATAATCTACAAAATTTCACCTTCAAGAAATTTCTTAGCTTTCTTGCCTTTGTATCCTACATAGAAACCTCTCAGTAGATGGCTAAATATAGATTTACATTTATTTGGTCCACTATAAAAAAAAAAAGGTGTTATAAGTATAAAAAGGAAGGGGGATGAAATAAAAATCCCTTAAGTCGGTATTTCTCAAGGGATGTTCTGCAGAAAAACAGCCAATATTGCTTAAAATATTGCCAGGCGGAATTTGTTTTACTGTAAGACTTCTCAGGGCCTTTTTGTTTTGTGAGGATATTTTCTCCATTGCTTTCCAGAGAGAGTGGAACGGAGGGGGAAGAGACAGAGAGAGAGAGGGAGAGAGAAACATCAATGTGAGAGAGACACATTCATTGGTTACCTCCTGCACGCCTCCCCTCCCCCAACTGGAAAGCAAGCCTGCCAAGGAAGCATGTGCCCTTGACCCACCCTTCAGTCTGCAGGCCGACACTCTATCCACTGAACCAAACCGGCTAGGGCAGTGGTTCTCAACCTTCCTAATGCCACAACCCTTTAATACAGTTCCTCATGTTGTGGTGACCCCCAACCATAAAATTATTTTCGTTGCTACTTCATAACTGTAATGTTGCTACTGTTATGAATCGTAATGTAAATATCTGATATGCAAGATGTATTTTCATTGTTACAAATTGAACATAATTAAAGCCTAGTGATTAATCACAAAAACAATATGTAATTATATATGTGTTTTCCGATGGTCTTAGGCGACCCCTGTGAAAGGGTCGTTCGACCCCCAAAGGGGTTGTGGCCCACAGGTTGAGAACTGCTGGGCTATTGCATAGAGGCTTTTATATGCTCCAAACCTAACCACTTCCCATTCTCTTCACCACTATCACCCCAGGCTCAGCCACCATCAGCTCCCGTCTGAACACTGCATCTTTCTCCTACTGAACTCCTTGCTTCTGTCCTCGGCCTCTTTCTGTCAATTCTCAGCATAGCAGTGAGAGGAGCCTTCACAACAGAAGTCAGATCCAGCGACTGCTCATCAAAGCCCCCTCACCCCCCATGTCTTCCCATCTCATTCAAAGTAAATTCACACACTTTTCAATTTCCCGACATAGGACCTGCTCTCCAACCCCCTTCCCTCACTCCCCTCCACCCCCTGGATCTTTTTTAGCTCCCCTCCTACCATTTCTGCTCATCCAGCCTTTTTGTTCTTCCCCAAACAAACAGCAGGCTGTGGCCTCGGGGCTTTTCCACTTCTTAAATACCCTTCTCCAGAACTGACAGAACTTTCTCTCTAATTCTCAGCCAAAATGCCTTCCTTGACATCTGACATGCGTTAGTGACCACGCGATATAATTTGTCTCTCTGTCTCCACCACCAACGTGGACACTCAGGGAGGGCAAGAACTTGGCTCACTCTGTTCATTGCTGTACCCTCACTTCCCCGTGCTTAGCACATGGTAGCTGCTTCAGTATAAGTTACTGAATGCTTGACAATTAGTACACACGGGAAACTGTGCATCTCAGAGAGGGTAATATCACACGCCACTTCCTCCAAACTGCTTGAGCACAGGGTCTTTTTGAGAGAAATATTTATTAATATCTCAGGGCCCTGGGAGTTCCAAAGCAATTTTGGAGACACCGCTTTAATTTTCATTATTTGGCTAAAATCAGATTTAGCCTTTTCCTTTTATATATTTTTATCTTTTAGTCCAAGACCCTGTGCCATTCTGCCAGCCCGTTTCCTTCAGTCCTCCCCGCAGTCACACAGCAGGGACTGTCAGTCACCCCTGTGCCTACCAGCCAGCCACTCCCTGTGACGGCAGAGCTCCCCAGGCCTGCGTCTGTAACACAGGCCGGAAACGCTCTGGTGGGAATAACTTCAAGCCCCAAAGAGGACTCACATCCAGACGTCTCCACCACTCATCCCCAAGCATCATCTCAGAGCGCATCCAATCAGGTGAGTGAGGAACATGGAAGTCACTACTGTGTATGTTCATTACATGGAAATAGCACTTTTAAAAATATATATATATATATTTTTTTTTTTTATTGATTTCAGAGAGGAAGGGAGAGGGAGGGAGAGATAGAAACATCAATGATGAAAAAGAGAGTCATTGATCAGCTGCCTCTTGCACATCCACCACAGGATCGAACCTGAAACCCGGGCATGTGCCCTGACCAGGAATCAAGCCCTGACCTCCTGGCTCATAGGTCGATGCTCAGCCACTTAGCCACACAGGCTGGGCTGGAAACAGCACTTTTAATCTTTCCTTCTATTTTGGTGTCGTTTCGGGAACAGTAATGCTAGGAAGGAGCCTCGTTCCCCCTTTACCCCTGAGCAGAATATTCCTGGGAATGCCTGACAGACAGGCATGTGTCCCGATTAAAAGCAAAAGCCAAAGCAAGTCCATGGAAATATCCCACATTGGGTCTTACGCCTATTTCAGTATTTACGGTCGTATTAGGTAATGCTGTTGTATCAGTGCTTCGGCTGGGGAGGAACCCTTGTTGGCCTGCCCCACTGTCTTAGCAGCAGCAAACCCTTCGACACCTTCTCCACCTCACCCTCTCACCTCCCCTTCACCTTTGTTCCCCTTCCGGACAAACTGGGGAAAAGGCAAAGCTGCTTTAACAGTGCTGACTGAAGGCATCCTGCTCCTCCCTATTATTTGGGTTTTTTTAAAACACAAGCCCTGCCTATAAGCCATCTAACATTTTCCTGTTAGAAAGGAGTCCTGTTTTCTCTGGATCTGCTGTCAGTGGTAATGGAAACTAGATGTTCACTGTTGTCTCAGTCAGCATGTGTTCTGCTGAGGGGAAAAGTGATCTGCAGCAGCTTAAACAAAGAGTGTTTGCTTGCCTTAAATAGAAATTTGAAAGCTCGAATATCCAAAGAGTCTACAGACAAATTATTAGAACTGTCAAGAGAATTTAGAGATGTTACTGAATATCAGATCAGTATATACTAAAGTTAATTATATTATTGCATATCAGCAACTATCAGTTAGATTTTTTTAAAAAGATATAATAACAGGTACCTAGGAATAAATCTAACCAAAGATGTACAAAACTTCTAGTTTTTCTGAGTCAGTTCAGGAAACCATGATAAGGCTTGATTGAGAGACATTAAAGAAAAGCTAAGTAAGTGGTGAGATCTGCCAGGTTCAGCCCAGGTTAGGCGTTCTAAGGCTGCCGCTGGAATGACGCTGAGTACAGCCTGACCAGCAGGCAGACGTGCAGCCGGGAGGCATCTGTGTCTCCCTTACCTTCACTCCTTATTAACAGCTCAGTCCCACAGCGTAAAACCAAAATTGGGTGGACCTCAGTTCTGAGATCTCTCTGTAACTGACCCAACCCACTATTCCCCTGTGAATCAGGAATAACCCTATTCAATTGCATGGCCTGTGAGGATGGGGTCTTAACTGACGTGAACTGCTCCAGTCCTTGAGCCTAGCAGTACACAGTAGGCATTTAATAAGGACTTATTGAATACTGATTGAGTTAAGCTGTAAGTAGGTTGTTCTCTAGAATTCGGACCATGTAGTTGGTGTAAACAGATTGTCTCAGGGTTGGACTTCCAGTTCAAAACAAGTAGCCTCTTAAGTTTTGGGACCATGCTTAGTGTCCTGAGCTTGTTTGTTTTCTCAGGTTTCCTGCCTCCCAGCTCCTGCCGTGTGGTATGTCAAGGACTTCCCTCTTGAACAGGAACTCTTGGGTTGAGGGAATTACCGTGGGAAACCTGAGGGGATAAACACACTTCTGAATAGACAGGTTTTGTTGTCTTGAATTCCAGGTTTCTCACGCTTGTGATCATGGCCATAGCCTTAAGCTTACTCTTGCAGATCTTATTGTCAGACTCACTTGTCCTTTGAGCAATCATTGTATGACCTGTTATCATTTTCTGTGTGAAGAGGTGAAAATTCTATTTGCAGAAAAGCCTCTGAAGGCAATAAGTGTGATGGAAAGCCTGTGATTCATAGAGCTTGTAATGTCACCAAAGGCCAGCTCTCATTAAAGCAATGTCTCAAACTACTAAAGTGCAGTAATTATATGCAAATAATTTTTACAAAATCCTTTGTTCCCAATAGGTCACAGATGAAAGGGCATGGAACTTCAGCAAAGCGATGCATGGTTTGCAACCTCACAGCCAACTGCAGAAAGCTTGTGAGGTGCTCCAGAGACTGACAGCCATGATCCCAGGACTGTCCGAGTCAGTGCAGGTAAGCAGAGGCTGATTGGGAGGGAACAGATGTGAGGAAGGGGAAAGTGAAAAACAGGAAAGGAGAAAACGTATAATAAAATAGAAAATGTATAATCTGGAAATTGTACCCTGTACAGACTAACATTATGAAATACTTTGTGGAGACTCAATGGAAATATTAGCAAGTGTATTTGTACCTTTAAATCTGAAGGTTGTGCCCTCGCTGGGTAGCTCAGTTGGTTAGAGTGTCGTCCCAATACCCCAAGGTTGTAGGTTTGATCCCCGGTCAGGGCACATACAAGAAACAAGCAATAATAAATATATAGATAAAGGAAACAGCAAGTCACCGTTTTTCTCTCTCTCCCTCTCTCTCTAAAATCAATACATTTAAAAACTATATGTTAAGGCAGCTCTCTCTATGGAGCATGCCCAAGCCTTCCCCCCATCCCCTGCCACCCCCTCCAGGTGGATTTTCCTTGACCCTTAAGCTTCAAGGTCCCTTCTTTTGCATCTGTAACTTGTTTCTTGAGCCCATTACTTCTATAGCCCATTCTTTCCACCTCTGTGACTTTCTAAATAAACTTTCTCTTATAAAAAAAATCTGAAGATTGTTAAAAAACTGGATCAGTAGTGACATTCCCATTTACCACATCACTGCTTTTCTGATCTATGTGTCAGGAGAAATCACAGGAGACAAAGACAGGTCCATGCCTTGCCATAGCATAGAGCAGCCTTGAAACAGGCATCAAAAGTCCGTGCCTCCGTGATATCTGCCTTTGTTGCAACCACATTTGCCAGTGTTACTTCCTCATAATTATTCATGCCTCCTTCTACTCCCTACACATAGATTAAGGTGGTAGGATTAGTGAGGATTTTAATTTTCTTTTTTCCATTTTCTGTATTTTCAAATATTGCAATAAGTACATAAATGCGATCTGTATTGGTTTATTTGAGAAAATTACAACAAAAGCATATTAAATAAAAAGCACTCTCTAGATGTAATCACTATTATTAGATTAATCTTGATTTGCTGTGCATAACCTTCCAAACATTTTTGATGCGTACAAAAAGTTTGTTGGTTTGTTTTGTTTTAATAAAAATGGGGTTAAAGCCGAAACCGGTTTGGCTCAGTGAATAGAGCGTCAGCCTGCGGACTGAAAGGTCCCAGGTTCGATTCCGGTCAAGGGCATGTACCTGGGTTGCGGGCACATCCCCAGTAGGAGATGTGCAGGAGGCAGCTAATCGATGCTTCTCTCTCATCGATGTTTCTAACTCTCTATCTCTCTCCCTTCCTCTCTGTAAAAAATCAATAAAATATATTTTTTTAAAAAAATGGGGTTAAAGTCTACAAATGTTTCTGCCCCTTGATTGTTTTACTCAATGCTGAGTTAAGGGTATCTTTTCATGTCAGTACACATAAGTGAACTCCTTATTCTTAATGTTTATTTGATATTTTACCCTTGCAAATAGCCATCCATGGATATCCTTATACCTACATCTTTCAGGACTTCTGCAAATATTTCTGTGGGATAGAGTGCTAGAAATAGAATTGATGGGCTTTTACATTTTCAATAGATGACAAAATTATCCTCCCCTCCTAAAAGGAACTATTTTACATTCTCAGCAACCTTTCCCCCACACTTTCATTTTTGCCAATTTCAAAGGCAAAAAAAAAAAAAGCATTTTATTGATTACTAAGTCCTTCATTGGACTACTTGTCTCTTTGTTTGTAAGAGAGCTTATTTATTATTGATATTAACCTTTTGTTATATATGTTGCAAATATTTTGTGTTCATGTCTTATTTTTAACTTTATTTACTTTTTTACTTATTTACTTTTAAATCCTCACCCAAGGATATTTTTCCATTGACTTTTAGAGAGAGTGGAAAAGACAGAGAGAAATATTGATGTGAGAGAAACACAACAATAGGTTGCCTCCTTCACAAGCCCTGACTGGAGATCGAACCCATAAATTAGGTATGTGCCCTGACCAGAAATAGAATCCGTCACCATTTGGTGTACGGGACAACTCCCCAACCAACTAAGCCAGCCAGCTAGGGCTTAACTTCATTTTTTTTTTTTTTTGATACTTACTTTTGTTATTTTATTTTTCATACTAGAGGCCCAGTGCACAAAAATTCATGCACTCTGGGGGTGTCCCTCAGCCCAGCCTGCCCCCTCTTGCAGTCTGGGACCCTTCAGGGAATGTTCACCTGCCAGCTTAGGACCTAAGCCAGCAGTCAGACATCCCTCTCACAGTCCTGGAGTCCTGACTCCTTACCACCCGCCTGCTCACTGCTCCTTAGCACTGCCTCAGAGGCGGGAGAGGCTCCTGCCACCACAGCTGCGTTCACCTGCCCGGCTTTTGGCTGAGCAGCGCCTCCCCTGTGGGAGTGCACTAACCACCAGGGGGCAGACACTCAACGTAGGAGCTCCTACATTGAGTGTCTGCCCCCTGGTGGTCAGTGCATGTCATAGCGACCAGTTGTTCCGCCATTTGGTCAATTTGCATGTTACCCTTTTATTATATAGTATAGGATATTTTATTTTGCAGTTTTTAATAAGTGTAACGTTGAAAATAAAGAACATTTCAAAATAAAAGTAGTAGTACTTTTGGTGACTGTTCAGTAAATAGTTGTCAGTTGGTTCATTTGACTTGTTTTCCATGAGGGTAGCCTGCAGAAAGGAGAGTTAGTGTTTTCTGTTTCATTTGAACTTCTCCTTGATCTCCATGTCAAGTCTGTCTTGAATGCTTTTGAGGCCCTGGATACAAAGGGACAGTCTGTGCGGTACTTCAGTCAGCACTCTTCTCTTCTGCATTCCTCTTTTAAGCTTAGTTGTGTTAATTAGATATTTGATCCTCTTTCCACTCAGAAAGGGTTGTGTCATTTGCTTAGCGCAACCTGAAATACGAATCCTCCCTGTAGGTGATATGGAATAGTATATTTTCCTTCCCTGCCACAGTGTAACATTGCTTCTTATAAAAATGTATTTGAAATGTGTAAAGAACGCTGAACTCCTTCTCAGAAGAACACAAATGTAAAACAGCCATAAACCGTTCAGGAATGTCTATTTGCTTTTCCAAAATTCCCAGGTCAATGTTGTCGACTCCCTTATTTACTGGAGTGGCCAATTACTGAAAAGCCCATTTCAGAACAACAGCACTCTGGGCTTCAAAATTCCTGTGACTGTCTGCCTCGTTCACTCCCTCAGCAGTGTAGTGAAAGCTGACGAAGCAATTGGGCCAAGATCCAAGCATGACATTGAGCAGGTGGGTGCGGTACATGCCACTGGCCAACTCTCCTCAGAAACGTTCAGTCTGGACAGGCCCAGGTCTCGCACAGCCTCCCCCCAGACTCTCACAGCCCAGCAAAGCCTGCAGCACTGACGACACTGCTCTGTGAATCCTGCTCTGGGTCCTCTCTCTGCCCCAGCGAGCCCAGCCTGCCTAACGCTGTCATCTGGTGAAAAGCCCTTAGTGACGCGCTTGGCACACAGCAAGCACTCAGTAAGTTATGTCTGCTGTGCACATGAGACAATGTTCGGCGTTGTTAGTCATTAGGGAAATGCAAATCAGCTTCCACTTCACACCTAATAACAAGCGTGGGCAAGGAGGCAGGGAAAATGGAACCTTCATACACGGTTAGATTGTAAGATGGTACAGCTCTTTGCAAAGCAGTGTGACAGTTCCCCCAAAGTGTTAAAAATGTAATTACCATGTGACCTAGTAATTCTACTCCATGGAATAGATCTACATATGTCCATCCGCCTGAAACTTGTACAGTCATGTTCATAGCAATATTATTCAAGTGGCCAAATAGCAAAAAGGTGGAATCAACCCAGATGTCCATGATCTGATGGATGGACAAAGAAAAAGTGGTATGTCCATAAAGTGGAATAGTATTCGGTAACAAAAAAGAATGAAGTACTGATACAAACTACAACATGGATGAACCTTGAAAGTATTATGACAAGTGAAGAAGCCAATCACAAAAGACCATATATTATGATTCCATTTATATGAAATGTCCAGGAGAGGCAAATCTATAGACTGTAGATAAGTGGTCACCTCAGGATTGAGGAGAGAGGGGCAGAAGAATGGACAGTGACTGCTACTGGGTTCTGGGTTTATTTTACGAGAGAGAAAAATATTCTAAAACTAGATCATGGTTCTAGTTGCACAACCCTGTGAGTTTACAAAAAAACCTTTGAATTGTATACTCAAAATGGGTGAATTGTATGTGTGAATTCATTATAGTAAAGCTCTTTTTAAATATAAAAAAAAAACTATCATAAGCAGATCTAGGGCAGCTTATATCATGGGACAAAAGAAATACATATTTCTTTGGGGGGCCCTCTTAGTGGCACAGGGGATGATGACTCTTTAGCCAGACTACAGGTACTGCCTATGGGTTCTCGCCAATGAATGTCACCTCCCATTACATCATTGTCAAGATCCCTGTTCCCCTTCCAACCCCCTCAGAATCATCATTTCACTAACACAATACCCTGAGGTTACACAAGTCACATGATATTTCCCTCTAAATGCAGGTAGAAAATATTCTGAAAAAGTCCTTGATGGCCCTTGGGGAGATCCAGGAAACATTTCTACGGCAGCATCCATTTTCTGAGTCTTCGGTGACTTTGACCTCTTCCATTGCTACCCTGATGTTGAGCAGGTAGCATAGGAGGAAAGGAGGGAGGGAGGGAAGGTGAGAGGGAGGGGTTTTAAGAAGGGAGGAATGAAGGAAGGAGAGTTTCATTTTAGGTTTTTGACCTTTAGAGAATAGATTGATTCCCATTTCACTTCTTTTTCATTAGCCAAAACATATCAACTTTGCCTCTGAGCTCTTACACTCTCGGATACCCAGCACCCATGCGGTTAGCCTTCCCATCAGCTTCGGCGCTGGAGGAGCTCTTGAATAAACACCCAGGAGTTAATGTTCAAGTGAGTGTGAAGTTGATTCTGACCAGAATAAAAGTGAGATTTGGTGGCTGTAGGCATTTGGATGACAAGAATGCACCATGAAATGTAAGCTAACAGACCAAACAAGAGATGGTTGTGTGCTGTTAATTTCTGTTTTACACTGGCAGGATTGAAGGCCTCTGAAAATGATCCATGATAGAATGGGGAGCATTAAACAAGCTTCTGGATTTAACTAAGTTTCTGTGTTATGATGTGAATTGATTCAACTCTTCACTATTATATAAAGCTAGGGATATCTGAATAAGCACTGATTCAATATACCGACCTAGTCATATCAGTATATTGTATTTTTTTTTCAGCAATTACTTAACAAACAGAAGTAGGATTGTTGCCTTATCCTGAAGAACAGAATACTTCCTAGTAAAATGAATCCTCTAGGTATAAAGATGTAAAAATAATAATAATTCTGAGGGTCACAGTAAATGACTCATCTTTAACTAATTAATTCTTTCTCATATGATCCTATATAATAAAAGGTTAATATGCAAATCCACTGAAGTTCAGAACGACCAGTCACTATGACACACACTGACCACCAGGGGGCAGACGCTTAACTCAGGAGCTACCCCTAGTGGTCAGTGCACTCTTGCAGGGGGACCACCACTCACCCAGAAGCTGGGCTCACGGCTGGCGAGAGCCTCTCCTGCCTCTGCAACAGTACTAAGGATGTCCTATAGCTGGCTTGAGAAGCGGGCCTAAGTCATCTGTCGGACATCCCCCAAAAGCTCCCAGACTATAAGAGGGCGCAGGCCAGGCTAAGGGCCCCCAACTCCCGAGTGCATGCATTTCGTGCACTGGGCCTCTAGTCTTATAATGAGAGGTATTTCATTTGAGATATAGCAAGGGGGAAAATCCCAACATTTAATTTATGGTATCTGATTACCTTATTATGTACCGGGGTGTTATTTATAAATATTTCAGTAATTGCTGAAACTGGAGTTTTCTTGTCTTTAGATAACAGGACTAGCTTTCAATCCCTTCAAGGATTTTGATGACAAGAACATTGTTGGAAGCGTCGGAAGTGTGGTACTAAGTTCTAATCATAAATTGCTCCGAGTCCATGACTTAATGGAGGATATTGAGGTATGACTTGATTATTAGGAAATAAAATAGAAGGGACTAGGAATTCCTGGGGAAAAGCATAGAAGGAAGCAACTCCGTGAAGGAAGTCATTGGAGATTCATGGGAGTGACATTGTTTCATTAACACCTTTACTTAGGAAATTGTACAAACTTTTCCTTATAAGTCGTTTTAGATCTTAGCCTATTACCCTTCCTTAACCCCTGACACTGTTACCTACTAAAATTCAAAGAGGAATACTTAGGAAGTTTCATCCCATTTCCCTATAAAGGAGACTGACAGGCGTCAATCAATAGGTCATCTTAAATTTGAAGAGTGATGAACTGTCTCTCATTCTAGATCATGCTCTGGAGAAATGCAAGCATGGAAACCCACCCCACCAGCGTCAACATGAGCACGGACTATTTTACCATCACAGTGAACGTCACTTCCCTGGAGAAATCCCTGATCGTGTGCATAGAGCCTGAAAGTCCCGTTTCAATGACACTCTACCTGGGGTTCGAGTATCAGCCTAACCACACTTTCTTTCACCTGAACATGACCCTGCCAAAGGCTCAGGTGGAGCAGAAAGGTAAGATCCCTCTCAGGTGTCAGCAGTTGACCGACCACAGCACTTTGCAATGCATGTTTTTCTTTTCTTTTTAACTTTTTTTTAGATAACTGTATATTCACATGCAATTGTAAGAAATAAAAACAGATCTTATATACTTGTCACTCAGTTTCTCCTAATGCTAATATCTTGCTTAACTGTAGTGCAATGAGGAAATGACATTGATCCAATGCACTGATCTTATTCAGATACCACTAGCTTACAAGCACTCCTGTGTTTGTGTTTAGTCCTCTGTACTTTTATCACGTGTATAGATACATGTGACCATGAAATGCATTTATTTTATTTTATTTTATTTTTTTAATCCTCAACCAATGATATTTTTCCATTGATATTTAGAGAGCATGGAAGAGAGGGGGAGAGACAGAGAGAGAGAAACATCGATGTGAGAGAGAAACATCGATTGGTTGCTTCCTGCACATGCCCCAACCAGGGCCGGGGATAGAGCCTGCAACCAATCAAGATATGTGTCTTTGACCAGAATTGAACCCGCAATCCTTCATTCCATGTGTTGACGCTCTATCCACTGAGCTAAACCGGCCAGGGCATGAGATGCATTTTTTAAAAGATGGATTGTGTGATATATAGAAGGATATTTATGTGATAAAGCAAATTTAGTAAATGTTAATTATAGAATCTGGTTATGATTTTATGAATGTTCCTGTAAAATTCTCTCAACTTTCTATATGATTGAAAATTTTCATAATAAAACTAGTGGCCCGATGCACAGATTCATGTGCATTGAAAGGAAATTAGGTCAGCCGAGAATTGCCGCTGCCAAGTCACCACAGCTCAGCAGTAAACCAGATTCGGGGCTGACAGTGCCCCAGCAACAACGTAACCCATGGCCGAAGGTGGAATCGTGTGGCCCCGCGAGGAATCGGGCTCCCTCCTCTTTTATACTTGTCACACAGATCTTATATACTTGTCACTCAGTTTCTCCTAATGCTAATATCTTGCTTAACTGTAGTGCAATGAGGAAATGACATTGATCCAATGCACTGATCTTATTCAGATACCGGGGTTCCGGGGTGCATCACCCGAGAACCACCGCTGCCAAGTCACTGCAGCTTGGCAGCTCCTGCGTTGAGTGTCTGCCCCCTGGTGGTCAGTGTGCATCATAGGTACCAGCCGGTCAGACGGTTGGATAGTCACTTAGCCTTTTATATATATAGATGTTGAGACTTCTGCAGAAGTAAAGTTCCAGCACAATGGGTCATAATATATCTCAAATGTTATATGTATAGATGAATATGTATATGTAATATATCACTTATATTTCAACTTTATTTCTAATCTTAGGTTTAGATAATGCCTGGAGATATCTCAGTAAGTCTTGGTATAAGATCAGAATGACTATGCTGTAGTTTAGAAAAGTTAATAATTTCTCTGACATATATAAGTAGTAAAGAATTTCTGAGATATATAAATAGTGCCTGGAATATACTTGATCAAAGAACTTTAAATGTAGTACTGAAAAGTCTTAATAAAGAGCTACCTTTGGCCGTAAAAGATGTTGGGGAAAATAATCAGAATGAATAAAGCATGTTGTAGTCTCCCTCACGACAACCTACCTGTATTGAAGGAGCTTTTTCTGGCTCCTGCATGGGCCTCGCTAACAGACACAGTCACTTTGTAAGTGACCCTTCCCTTTAGACAAAGCCCCTGGGGCAGCAGCTCTCCCTGCGGGGTGCCAGCTATGAAGTCAGAACATGCACTCCCTTCTTCTCGCTGCTCGTGGCAGTAATCTCCCGTCGTTTGGAGCTGGGAGACATCTTGGAGATTCTTTCGTTTAGACTCCTTGTTTGAAAGATAAGAAAAGTAGAGATTTGGTGACTTAACAACCACCTGTGACAGAACCAGGCCTGAAATCAGGCCTCTGGCGTGCGGTCCAGGCTCCGTCCTGGAACCACTCTGCTCCTGTCCTCGCTTCGTCCTTGGGTTTCATCACCCCATACACCTGGGTCTTCTATCTACTAATTTTAGTGTGTGATGATTTCATTTTTCTAAAACTCTTAATACAGTCTAATTCCTTAGGCCTAAATTTTCATTCATCAAAAGATGGTTTTTTACTGCAGCAGGAGTTACCCAGGGCCCTGGATTTTACTTCTGGTCATTTTTTAAAGAAATCACTGTGACTCTAAGCTTATTACTTTGTAAAGTAAAATAACAACAGGCCCTCCAGAAGAAAGGGTTAACAGTATTTTTCTCCCACGTGCAATGCAATTAAGCACTCTTTGTTGTTCTCAGATGAGGAGTATACATGGGTGCTGACTCCAGGGAGTTTGCAGCATGGGATCGGCATCTACTACATCACAGCCGTGTTGAATAAAAGCAAGGAGGAGGCTCAGCGGACTCCCACCCTGTTCTCCATCGTCACTGCCCTCACTCAGTGCTATTTTTGGGACAGTCACAACAGCACGTGGAGGAGCGACGGATGTCAGGTAAGAAGCTGTGCCGCTTCCCCGCCTCTCTTCTACCTTAGCTGGCATTGAACACGGTGCATCTGTTACCTCAGTTCCCATCAAAATCATAGAAGGAGCCGGGTGGCTCAGTGGGTTGGAGCATCACCCCATACACCAAAGGGTTGCAAGTTTGATTCCTTCTCTCTCTCCCTCCTACTCTCCCTTCCCTCCCTTGCTTCTTCTCTTCTTCCCTTCCTCCCTTTCCCTCTGTCCCTTCCTCTCTATATAAAAATCCATGAAAAAAAATCCATTCTCAGGTGAAGATTAAAAAAAATAGAAGGGAAATAAATCAGCTGGGAAGAAGGACGGTGGTGTGTGGTGGGTGGGCAAGAGTCTCTCTTTGGAGCAGGCCATGCTTCATATGTGTGATTCTTTCTCAAGCATTAGTCCACGGTGAATGTGACAGTTCCAGGTAAAATAAGAAAAGCAATATGTGGAAGCTCTTCAAGTCTGCAAGTATTAAACATGTTGTGGGTAAACGGAAATGAACTTCCTGCTAAATAAAAGAGGATTTTTGTACTTAAAAAGAAGCTCGCCGCCCTAACTGGTTTGACTCAGTAGATAGAGCGTCAGCCTGCAGACTGAAAGGTCCCAGGTTCGATTCCAGTCAAGGGCATGTACCTCGGCTGTGGGCACATCCCCAGTAGGAGGTGTGCAGGAGGCAGCTGATCAATGTCTCTCTCCCATGGATGTTTCTAACTCTCTATCCCTCTCCCTTCCTCTCTGTAAAAAAATCAATAAAATATATATATTTTTAAAAAAGAAGCTCGCCCATTCTTGTACCCTCCAGGCCAGGGACAGATTGTCACCTTTGTAATAATGCAGACTCCCAGGTGTCTGCCCAATGCACAGTGACACTACATTTTCACACCAGTGGTTCTGTGAGATCCTGTCTGCTGCAGATCCTGGTCCACTTGCACAGAGTGTGCTGCAAGGTTCCGGAAACCGTGAGGCTGCTATGAGCCATCTGAGAAGGTGTCACCCGGATTGGGACTAGAAGGAAAGGGGTTCCCTGGACGGCACCCACATCACTCGTGGCCTCAAGCAGCAGTTTCTGGAGGATCGGGTGCTGCTTCCCAAGCACATCCTCAAACCGGAAGCTTGTCTGTGAGATTCTGTTGCCGTAAACCTGGGCGGGCCTGCGATCCTGCAATCCTGCCTCTCTAAGGGCTCCCAGGGGAGGCAGTGCTGCTGGTCAGGGAAGCCACACGCCAGCAACAGGCTCTCTCCCCTGGCAGGGCAGTGACCCCTGACGCAACAGACATCAGGATGTGTCTCGCCTCCTGGAAGCCTCCCTAGTGTTAGGCTCTGTGAAGGGAACAGAGCTGCAGAGAACGGATGAGAGTTTGCCCAAGGGCAGAATATTGGTGGGGCGACTAAAACTTAACCTTGTGCCATGCAGAGAAACCAGTCATAATGACACTATTGTAGACTTTTCATCTGCAAGATCACACATGGAATGGGTACCTTCCATTTACTCGCCTACTAACTTTTTTCTAAATCCTCACCCGAAGATATATTTTTATTGATTTGAGAGAGAAAGGAGGGGAGAGAGAGAGAGAGAGAAAAACATTGATGTGAGAGAGAAACATCGATCGATTGCCTACCAACGAGATCGAACCTGCAACCTAGATATGTGCCCTGACTGGGAACCAAATCCACCACCTTTTGGTCTACAGGGACAACGCTCCAAGCAACTGAGCCACTTGGCCAGGGTCCTGGTGACATTTAAAAAAAAAATCTATGAGGAAATGTTATAACATATGAAAAGTTATAAGGAATAAAATAATAAAACCATGAAACACCACTCAGCTTTATTACAGAATTAGCACTTTACTCTAGTTCAGAGGTCCTCAGACTACGGCCCGCGGGCCACATGCAAATACAAATATTGTATTTGTTCCCGTTTTGTTTTTTTACTTCAAAATAAGATATGTGCAGTATGCATAGGAATTTGTTCATAGTTATTTTTTTAAACTATAGTCCGGCCTTCCAGCGGTCCGAGGGACAGTGAACTGGCCCCCTGTTTAAAAAGTTTGAGAACCTCTGCTCTATTTAGATGTGTAGGAAGAATAAGACACTCAGGCATAATCAAGTGCTCTGTATATCCTTCACCAATTCCATTCCCTTCCTCCCCACAAAGGGTGACCACCAGCTGAATTTGGTGTGTTCATGCTTCCGCTGAGTGTTTATTGAGCACCTGCTATTGAGCATCCCAGCCAGGCCAAGGCCCAGAGCCAGAGGTGCAGTGATGGACGGACAGTGTCCGCATGAGCGTACATCCCAGTGAGGACACCGGCAGGAGCAGAGACATAAGTGTTGTTTTGGTCTTTGTGCAGATGGCACCAAACTGTACATGCCCTTCTGTAACTTGGTTTTCCACTCAGCATTTATCCATATTTATATTCCTTTTCACTGTTGTATAGTATTCCATCCGGCTGCCTCTACTCATGTCTTTACCTGTTTGTCTGTCCTGCCGTTACGGTGTTTTATAGTTCGAAGCAGTGCTGGCAGGGCATTCTTTTCCATGTCCCCTTGTGCACGTGTGTGAAGTGCCCTGGGCTACACAGTCAGCCCTGGAATTGCCGGACTCAGAGGGTTTGTGCTTCTTCAGCCTCACCAGATGTTGCCAGCGCACTGTGCACATTGGTGATACGCGTTTACACCGCCAGCAGCAGTGAACGAGCGACCCAGACATTCTGTTCCCGCTCTGAACTGCCTGTGTTGATGGTTCAGGGCTGGCCCTTCGTTAGCGTCAGTGTCTCGATTCTATTCCAGGTCGGGCCACAGAGCACAGTGGTGAGGACCCAGTGCCTCTGTAACCACCTGACCTACTTTGGCAGCGACTTCTTCATAGTGCCCCGGACAGTGAATGTTGAAGATACGATCAAGCTATTCCTGCGCGTGACCAACAACCCTGTTGGGGTGTCCTTGCTGGCCAGCCTTTTGGGGTTCTACCTGCTCCTGTTTGTGTGGGCTTGGAGAAAGGATCAGGCAGATATGCAGAAGGTGAGGAGACTTTGATTCCAAAAGTTTTGCCACAGCGGCTTGAGTATGTTGAACAAGGTGGGGAAAAAATACCTTCATCCAAAGAGGCAGGTCCCGTGGTTCCAGAGAGCGGAGAAATTCAGGTGCGAGTGTTCTTAAATTTCTCTTTATATCTATTCTCTCGAGGCCTAGGAACGTAACTCTTTATATCCTTTTTTTTCCTTTTAGCCAAGGTTGAATTCTCATGTGATTCATTTAGGGATAGGCCAAAAGAAAACATGTAGAGAATTTAACTATAACCAAATGCATGTTTATCTCACTTTACACATTGCACATGAAAGTTATATGTAAGCCAAATTATAATTTATTATAATTGCAATATATAAAAAAAAACACCTGTAAGAAACTTTTTTTGAAACAAACAAAAAATGCTTTGATGGCTGCTTGTTCTTAATTTCTGTTCTATTTCTTTCTTGCTCTTGTGTTTTCTTACACTTGGAAATTGTAGAATGCACAACATGTTCATTTCTTTGTTGCCATGGGTATAGGATTGCCAGTTTTAGTAAATAAAAATACAGAACACCCAGTTAAATTTGAATTTCACATAAATAGTGAATGCATTTTTGGGGTAAGTATGCCCACAGATTATTCAGTGTTTTTCTGAAATTCAAGTTTAACTGGATGTTTTATATGTTATCTACCTGGGTGGGAGGGAAGTGGAAAGATTGAGAGGCCCAAGACGTGGTTGGTTCTATGACTATTTCCTTTTAGAGGCATAAACCCTGGCCTTTCCGCCCTCCCCCCTTATCACTTAACCTAGGTCTGCTTACACCTCCCTTCGCTTTCCAGACCATGGCCAGCTCTGCAGTCGTGCATCCTCCTGCTCCCTAGCGGGGGAAGCAGCTCCACGAGCCTGAGTAAGGGTCAGCCCATTTTCTTGGTTCTGCTTTTCCTGCAGGTGAAGGTCACTGTCCTGGCCGATAATGACCCCAGCTCTCGGTGTCGCTACCTTATTCAGGTCTCCACTGGATATCGAAGAAGGGCCTCTACAACAGCTCAGGTTAATGACACACATGTCCCTCATTCACGGCTCCGGCTCCTACCACGTGAGATACAATACACTCTGCTATCCCCGCGTCCTGTAGCACTTACGGCGGATCACAGAGGGCTACTCCTACTTCTACACTGTGAATCCGAAGAGCCCTCTGTCCTTGTCTCAGATCCCAGAGACCTCATCTCAGTCCAGTGTCTCTGCCTGCATCTTTCTCCTTGGGGATAAACCCAAAGAACCAACTAACCATGTGAGGACTTCCCGTGTCATGTCTCAGGTGGTGGTCACCCTGTATGGGTCAGAGGGACGGAGTGAGCCCCATCACCTCTGGGACGGCCAGAAGGCAGTCTTTGAACGAGGGGGACTGGATGTCTTCCTGCTCGGCACCCGGTCCTCCCTGGGGGAGCTGCACAGCCTCCGGCTCTGGCATGACAACTCGGGCGCCAGCCCTGCCTGGTAAGCACCTGCCTCATGCTGGCTTGTTGTGGGCTCAGCTTGTCATCGCAATAAATAACAACAGTCCTTGAGCCAGGAAGTCACAGTTAGATTTACATTTCAAAGCTGTCTATAAAGAAGAAACCCCCGGAATCAATGTGGAAATTAACATTATGATTTTTTGTGAATTTAAGAATGATAGATGTTTTATTTTTCTTTTATTTTCATTAAATGTTGCCATGGTGTGTACAGCAAGTAATCACAAGGAAATATTGCCCCAAGGTACCACAAATTAAAGGTATCTCTAATATGAAATATATATATTCAAAGAGTAAATTCAATAAACAACTATATCCTGAATACTGTGCATTGGGTCAGAACTCAGAGCTCAGGAGAGAGGAAAAGTGGAATTAAGAAGTGGTGTGTGCCTAGGGACGGTCAGTGATGAGTCTGTGCTGGGCCCAGATGGTTCTGCATCTCTCTTCAGCAGCACCGTGGGAATGAGGGGAAGAAAGGGGAGGAAGTAGATGATGAAATGAATTAAGGGTGAAGATTATTGGTTTGTTGGGATTAGGAAAAAATAAGGAATGAAGTCAAAGATCCAAGACTCGTGTATTCGAGCCTCATTCCTGAATACCGGCCACTCTGAAAAGAGTGTGCAGCTGCCCAAAGTCAGTCTTGCCCTCTAGGCTAGATACACCAGCCTCTAGGCCGCAGGAGCCTAATGATTTGCTTACTGTTTCCATTCTGATCGGGCATCTACAGATCAGTTTGTACACTGTCATCTCAGTTTCATTTACAAAGGTGAATAATAAACACTTGACAAGATGCTCAACTCCGTTAGTCATCAGGAAATGCAAATTAAAACCACAGTGAGATAGCACTAACTAAACACCCAGCAGCATGACTAAAATTAAAAAGTCCAACAAAACCAAGTTTGGGAGAGGGTGGGGCACACTCACAACAGCACTGGTGGGCGTGTAAAATGGTGCAGCCACGTTGGAGAACAGGCTGTCAGTTTCTTGTACAGTTAACCATACACTTACCATATGACCCAGACGTTCCGCTCCTAGATAAATGAAAAAAATATGTCCTTCAAGACTTATACACGTACATTCATAGCTGTTTTATTGTTAGTAGCCCAAAACTGGAAACAACACAAATGCCCATCAGGTGAATAAATAAATAAATGTCAGTATATTCATTAGATGGAATACTCCTCACCGACGAAAAGAACAGTCTGCTAATACATACAACATGGATGAATTCCTAAAAGCATGCTGACTGAAAGAAGCCAGACTGTGCGAATGCATACTGTGTGACTCACATACATGAAATTCTTTTAAAAAGGAAAACTACAGAGACAGAAAGATCAGAAGTCACCTGGAGCCAGGGGTGAGCCTCTGTTCTGTAGGATAGAGACAGACGGGATGCCTGTAGAGCTGGCCGGGCACCTCGCATATGGAACCGGGAAGCTTAGAGGACACACACACACACACACACACTGGACTGTTTCTAGGTTACAGAATCTGAATTCTGTGTTCAGTACATGAACTCCCTGAGGAAATGGGATCAGCTCTCGTTTCTTCCTTTAGTTCTTGCCTTGCAATGAGACAGAACCCACTGACAGGGCAAGATTACTTCTTTTTCTAAATTATCTGGTTTATTTTTTATTTAAGTATAATTGACATACAACATATTAGTTTTAGGTATACAATATAATGATTCAATATTGTATATTTTGCAAAATGATCACCATAATAAATCTAGTAACATCTATCCCCATACATAGTTACAGAATTCTTTTTCTTGTGCTAAGAAACTTTAAAATCTACTCTCTTAGAACTTTTTAACATGCAGTACAGTATTATTAACTATAGTTGCCATGTTGTACACTATGTCCCCATGACTTACTTGTTTTATTACTAGAAGTTTGTACCTTTTGATCCTGTCACCCATTCCCCCCAAATCTCCTACCTTCGGCACCCACCAGTCTGTTCCCCGTATCTATGAGCTTTTTTTGTTTTTGTTTTTTGTTTTTGCTTTTAGATTCCACATATACATGAAATCATATGGTATTTGTCTTTCTCTGTCTGACTGTTTCACTTAGCATAATGCCCTCAAGATCCATCCTATTGTTGCAAATGGCAGTTGCATTCTATTTTATGCGTGTGTGTGTGTATGTGTGTGAGTGTGTATATGTATGTATGTGCGCATGTGCGTGTGTGTATATGTGTGTATGTGTGTGCGTGTGCGCGTGCGCGTGTGTGTATGTGTGTACACCATATTTTTAAGCCCATTTATCAATGGACATTTAGGTTGTTTTTATCAATTGTTTCTTAATACAACAACTGAATTGTGCCCCCCTCCCTAACATGGCTATCTTCATTTTACTATAGGTATGTAAACCAGGTAATTGTCAGCGACATGGCAGGTAACAGGAAATGGCATTTCCTATGCAATTGTTGGCTGGCCGAGGACCTTGGAGATTGTGAGCGTGACCGGGTCTTCATACCAGTCTCAAAGAAACAGCTCTTTTCCTTTAGGTATTGTTGGGAAATGATGGTGTTTACAGGTCTCTGAAGCTCTGTTCATTTTTCATCATTCTTTACTCTTTCTGTTCTTCAGACTGTGTAATTTAAATTGACCTATCTTAACGTTTGCTGATTTTTTCCTCTGCCCACTCAATTATGTTGTGAGCCTCTCTACTGAATTTTTCATTTCACTTAGTGTATTTTTCAACTGCAGACTTGCTACTCAGTTCTTTTTACAAAATAATTTATCTTTATTGATTCTTTTATTTGGCAAAATATCATTCTCATTTACTTTCCTTTAGTTCTTTAGACATAGTTTCCTTTAGTTCTTTGAACATACTTAAAATGACTTGAAGTCTTTGTCTAGTAAATCCAATGTTGTGGCTTCCTCGAGGGCAATCTGAGGAGGAGGGTGTCTCTAGCTTTACAACCTGGAAATGTAAGTAAATTTGCCCCAAAGAGAATCACTGTCTCTATTTTTCCAGGGCTGTCTGCTTATACCAAGATTCCTTAAAAGATAGTCCAGGAGCAAATATTTTATGAATGCCTACATGTGACGTATTCATGGAGAATTGCCTCCAACACTGCTTTTGTTGTGTCAGTCTTTTGTCAGTCTGGCTGTTACTCTTTTCAAGTAGACTCCCATTTCTCTCTTTCATATTTTACCTTTATTCTTGATGTTCCAAATTTTATCATAATTCTTTTTACTATGGATTCATTTTTTTAATCCTGTTTGGTACTCAGAAGGTACTTTTAAAAATGTTTTTATTATGGTAAAGTACACGTAACATAGAATGTACTTTTAATATGCAAAATCACATCTTCAATTCTGAAATATTCTCAGATGTCACTTCTGAAAATATTGTTCATCTGACATTCTCTTACTCTCTGTTGGACCCTCAAACTATCCTCCATGGTGTTTGTTTAATGTGTGTGTGTGTGTGTGTGTGTGTGTGTGTACTAGAGGCCCGGTGCATGAAATCTATGCATGGGTAGGTTCCCTAGGCCTGGCCGATGATCAGGGCCAATTGGGACCTCTGGCTGCCAGCGCCTCCCTTCATTCCGCACTGACGTGGTGGTCAGTGCACGTCATAGTGAGCGATCGAACTCCCGGTCGAATTCCCGAGTGGACACTGCATATTAGCCTTTTATATAGAGAGATGTTTTATTTTGGAGAGGGAAGGAGAGGGAGAGAGAGAGATAGAAACATCAACGATGAGAGAAAATCATTGATTGGCTGCCTCCTGCACGCCCTCTAATGGGGATTGAGCCCACAACCCAGGCATGTGTCCTGACTGGTAATTAAACCCTGATCTCCTGGTTCATGGGTCAACACTTAAATACTGATCTACACCGTCCGGGAAATGTTAGATTTTTTTATGTGGTGAGGAATTTTGAGTTGTATATTCATTTCCGGTGTTTTATTATTAAATCTCAATCTCTATTTCCACTCTTACTCTGCCTCATAGCTTTTCTGATGTTTCAATCCAATCCTCGTGTCTCTAGAACTAGGCCTTATTACAGCATTTTGGAGCTCCTATTCCTCAGTGAAATCAGTGCGGCTAGGGGCCATTGCAGGTCTCGTCATGAAGCGCTGGGTCCCTTGGCTCATTGCTGGTCCTGGGGCTGCTCTCTTTCGCCCACGCTCTGCTGTCCACGTGTAGCTCTGTGGCATGTTGTTCTGTAGTTTCCTTTCATAAGCTCCAGCTCAGCCCTGGCTTCAGGCAGTGGAGATGGCTCGACTCTCCCTTTCCCCGTCTATGAAACACGTGGTCCCGTTTCCCTGCAAGTGCCAGCCTCCCCCTGTGTCCTGCCTTCTCCCAGACCTGGAGCCCGTCAGCCCGTGGCTTCTTCCCCTGGTTTCTCACTCCGTTCCTCCCTCAGAGATGTGTATTTTGTTTGGAAGCCCAGCTAATATTTTGGTTCTTTCTTTTTACATCTTCTTTACAGTTCCTCCTCCTTTGGAGTAGAGAATGTGCTCAGAATATGACTTTAGCAAACTATCTTGAGTGCAAACCTAATGCAAACTTTTTAAAAGTAAAAATATTTATCAAAACGCTTTAAAGAAATAAGCAAATATATTTTGAAGGCTAAAAAATAAATTTTTAGGTGAAACAAAAAAAAAAGCAAAAGCAGAAACTCTTAAAAAGCTAAAGCAACAGTTTTTAATTTTAAAATCTCAGACCACACAAATTAACTTTACCCTCAAAACCTTTTTATCCTAAAGTAACAAAAGAATCATGCTATCAGTCTTGTGACAGCACCTTCACAGAGGTGTGAGTCGTGGCGGAGTTGTTGCTCTGCAGCTTGTTGCCAGGCAAACCACTCCTTCGTCCAGGGCACTTTCAAAATGCAACCTCATGTCTCTCCTGTTGTCATTTGTGTTCTCAGACACCTGTTCTCCTCCATGATCGTGGAGAAGCTCACCCAGGATTCCCTGTGGCTCTCGGTGGCCACTCGCCATCCCTGGGACCAGTTCACGAGAGCCCAGCGGCTCACGAGCTGCATGGTCCTTCTGCTCTGCAACATGGTCACCAGCCTCATGTTCTGGAGGACGAGCGGCCCCCCCGCCCACAGAGACGAGCAAGGTCTGGCTGAGTCCTGTGGGTGTTGCTCCCGGCGCGTAACCCTTTCCTCTGCTTCACTCTCCTACTCTCCCTAATCCTACAGCCTCCTGACGTGCCTTCGTTTCTTCCCTCTGCTGCCTAACGTTAGAGCACGCTAGCACGTCTCACTGTTCCCAGCCACAAGCAAGTGAGGCAGCCTTAGGGACCCATCAGGATCCTCACTGCCATATCTTCTCCTTAGACCAGTGGTTCTCAGCCTTGGCTGCACATTAGAAGCACCTGGGAATCTTTTTAAAATCCTGACTTCTGGGCCTCATCCTCCGGAAATTCTGTTTCTTTGTTACTAATGTTGTGGCCTCACCCCATAGCAAAGAAACAGAATTTCCGGAGGATGAGGCCCAGAAGTCAGGATTTTAAAAAGATTCCCAGGTGCTTCTAATGTGCAGCCAAGGCTGAGAACCACTGCCTTAGATAATCGCAGTGAAACTGCTAAGCAAAGACTCACGCCTGGCAGAGGGGTGACTGTCAGGGGGTTTCGGCTGCTGAGGAGCAAGGTTAACGTAAAGCTTTTCTTCCAGTGGGTCCGTGTGCCGTGACCTGGTCCGAACTGCTTGTCAGCATCCAAACTGCCGTCATCCTTTTCCCAGTCAACCTCGTCATAGGGCGGCTCTTCCCACTGAGTCAGCCCCAGGAGCCTCTGCCCCCCTCAGCTCCCCGGCAGGCCTCCTGCTTCTCAGATGCGTCTTCTGAGCCTCTCTCGGCCTCAGAGGCCGTGGAGGTCAGCCTGTGTGGAATTCTACAGGTAAGCGCCTGCTTCCTCTCCCCATGTGCTAGAAGAGACCAGGGGAAAGGCTCTCGGGTCTTACTAACCCTGTCAGCTTTCCCCTGGTCCTGCCCCCTGGCTTGTGATCCAGCGGCCGCTAATTTTCCTCCTGGCTCTCAGGCTCCGTGGGAGTGCAGGATGTGCTGCTCTGGGCTTGTTTTAGCTTCTGATGTTTGGTCAGACTGTCCCTTCTTTCATTCTATAGTCTCTCATGAAACTAGTTTTATTTTTAAAAAAAGTTTTTAAAAAATATCTTTTCGTTGATTTTAGAGAGAGGAAGGAAGAAGGAGAGATAGAAACATCAGTGATGAGAGAGAATCATTGGTCGGCTGCCTCCTGCACGCCCAAAACTGAGGATCAAGCCTGCAACCTGGGCATGTGCCCTGACGGAATCAAACCATGACCTCCTGGTTCACAGGTCAACGCTCAACCTTTGAGCCACACCAGCGGGGCATGAAACTAGTTTTGAAGCTGCTGGGAGGTGCCTTCTTTTCTAAGAAGCAGCGACAAAGTGAGAACTTGAGGTTCTTCACACTAAGGATATGCCCCTCTGAGTAGAGACGGCGGCGCTGCCACCTGTCGTCACTACCATCCCTGGGCTGACGTCACACGCCTGACTCTTCTCATCTTGGTTCTACATTCAGGAGCTGAAGGAAACGGTGGGGTTTCTGCTCAGGAGAGACCCGGGCCTCCTCTCAGAACATGATCCGTCCTCGTGGGGTTCCTACAGCGTGAGCCAGCTGGTGGCGCTGTTATCCAGCCTCATTCGTTCTCACCTGGAGGCAGCACCCTGCGGGGCAAGTGGTAAGGCCGCAGGTTTAGTACCAACCTCTCCTCTCCTCCCGCTCCCTTCACTTCTTACCTGTCAGCATCACAACAGGCACCGTACAGCCTTCTGCTTGTTTTAATTTCCTTAGGCTTTTAATAGAGAGCTGATGCTTTGATCCCACGTTGTACAAAGTAAAGGGTTAAGGAAAAACCCACAGAAGTGTTTCCTGTGTGAGATCCCATATGCCATCTGCTTTGTAGAGACTGTTGAAACTTGTCATTCTTTTTCTGCTGTCGGGTGGTGAGGTTAGGCAGTCTGTGGCTTCTCAAATGTAGGTTGGGCCTCCTGGGCACTTACCTAGTACAGTCACAGGTGCTGCCGTTCTGGTGGAGAAGCTCAATCAGGTTATTTTTATTGATTTCAGAAAGGAAGGGGGGAGAGAGAGATAGAAAATCAATGATGAGAGAGAATCATTGATCGGCTGCCTCCTGCATGCCCCCCACTGGAGATCAAACCCACAACCCGGGCATGTGCCCTGACCGGGAATCAAACCATGACCGCCTGGTTCCTAGGTCAGCACTCAACCACTGAGCCATGCCGACCAGGCTCAGTCAGGATTTGAAGTCTCTAGATCAAAGTGTGGAATTATACAAGTTGTTAGAAAGTTACCGCTGTGCTCAGAGAAGACACTATACAGTAGTGTGGGTGTTGGGTGCAATCTCCACTCCCTGGGAAATTTAACCTCATCATCAGTTAATGAATTGCTCACCTCCGACAGTTGGTGCTAGTTACTGAAACCCTCCACTTACTAACAATGTCAACCTGGCATCTATTTTCAGTGGCTGCTGAAAACCGCCGTCATCTCCGCTGCTACCTGCTCAGGGTTCTGCAGAGGCTGCGGTCGCACTTGAGCACCTTGGGTCCCACCCAGTTCGACCAGCCTGGCGACCTCCTGGGTGCAGCCAGCCACCTGCAGAAGCTCCAGGAGCTCCTGGAGACACACATCCTCCCCGCAGAGCCAGGGCCCGCCGGGTAATCGCCGCACCTGCCCCTCGTTCCCCGGTGACCCCGCCTCCCCAGCTGTTGGCTATGAGGTTGTTACTTCGCCTTCTCTTCTTAAGGGAGGCAACCAGTTTCCCCATCCTGAGCCCAGAAGGAGGGCGGAGGTCCACCGCGAATGGTCTCTCCAGGTGGTTGGCTCCCATCTGCTGGCTCCTGCTGGGCGCCACTAGCCTGGCCGCGGCCTTTTTCACAGCCCTGTACAGCCTGGAACTGAGCAAGGACCAGGCCACCAGCTGGCTCATCTCTATGATCCTATCGGTGCTTCAGAACGTCTTCATCATCCAGCCAGTGAAGGTACGTGGTGACGGGCCGCCCGCATGGAGGAGCCGCTGCAGTTGCGGGCGCTTGGGAAACAGGTCTGTGGGTGCCGCCCTGGCTGCCCAATGTCAGACAACTGGGCAAAAAAAAGACAGCCCCCAAAAGAGATGGGGAGAGTGAAATTATAAGGAATGTATGTGGAGTAGTCCCAGAAAAGCTAGCAAGAACTGATAGACTAGTAGAAATAAGCGGAGAAAGACGGGGAGTTTCGGGGGAAGTAAAAATGTCAATTGGGAACAAACTATTCAGGGGGAAACGTACTTTTTAAAAATGTTTCAGTAAAGCAAATGTCAAAACCACACAAAAGTATGTAGAGAATAGTGTAGTGGTACCTAAAGTTGTTTCAGCTAGCTTCAACCGTTACCAATCTATGGCCAGTCTTGTTTCCTCTAGTTTGAGGGGAAAATAGCTCCAGACTTCACATTTTACCTGTAAATATTTGCCTGAATATTTCTAAAAGATAAGGACTCTTTTTAAAAAATATAAACCCTTACCACACCTAAATAAATTAGCAATAATTTCTTACTATCCACACAACAATATAAATGTACTAACACTACTAAACTATACACTTTAAGAAGGCTAAGGTGGCAGGTTGCTTATGTGTATTTTACCACAATTATTTAAAAATGCAGTGTTCAGATTTTACCAGTTGTCTCTTAAATTTTTCTGTTTAATTTAAATCAAGATCCAAGTGTAGTTAGTTGCTGTGTCTACTTACTTTTAATACTTACCTACAGCACCACCACCCCCCCCCCCCCCCGTGTTCTTGCTGTTTCTCTCGCTGTGTTTGTGGAAGAAAGCAGGTGTGTGGGATCTGGGGTCTCAGTGGCAGGATTGCCCCCGCTCTCAGGTGGCCTGAGCTCCCCCAGCAGACCCGGGAGCTTTAAAACTCGTCATGCCCAGGCCTCACTCAGGCCAATTACATCGTGATTTCTAGAGCTGGGCTTCCCGGCCCCACGCGTTTACAGTTCCCAGGTGACAGCAATGCACGGCCGCCCTGGAGACCCACTGATCATTGAAGAGGGGCCGAGTACACGGAGTAGGTGGGTGACCTGATTTTCAGGTGACACCTGCTTGAATACAGGCAGTCCTGACTTTGCACTGATGCTCATTAATTTCAGTTACCAGGGTTTAGTTAAATAACAGTTCGCAGCACTGCAGTTCGACCTCATGGTATGTCGGCTGAGTGAGTGCATCAAGTACGAGCTGCTGCTGGCTCTTCCGTGGAGAATTTGGTGGGACCCGTGGTTGGCCCTTCCTCCCAGTCTCGTCCACTAGGGGGCGACTTTAAGTCTGCAGAGCAGACACACCCAGAATTGCTGCCTCAAATCCATTCAACTCCAAAAGTAGCAGAAAGGACCTCAGAGCCTAGACCTCAGGCCAGGCCCTGGCCCACATTGTCCACCCTGGGGAGCCCAGGCAGAGCAGAATGGCCTCGCCTGCAGGCAGGCCAGCGGGAGGGGGAGGCATCACCTGCACAGATCCTTCCCAGTAATTAAGGTGGGGCAGAGGCGCAGGATTTTGACCCCGTCCTTTATTCTCCTGAGGACTGAGCACTTTCCTCCCCCCGCCACCCATGGGAATTTAAGGAGTGGGGAATACTTAAGGTCGTACTAAGATTCCATGACTTCTTTAGCAAAACTGGGATTTAATCCTTGGAATTTTTAAAAGCGTGGCTTCTCCGGTCTAGCACCTCACAGTTCTTCCAAAGACAGTGACTGAACGCCCGACACACATCACAAACCACTGAGTAGTTTAACTTCCCTAGCCAAGCAGATGGTGGACTACAGGCAGAAATACAAATAGCGGCTTTATCGGGACACTTCCTGGTCCCCGTGATTATGCAGAAGTAATATGAAATTATTCGATTCTCAGTTCTCCATAAATATGTCCAAATTCAATTGAAAAGTTATTAATGCTCCCCTTCACGTTTACATAATGATGTCACCGTGTTGGATCCTGTAACCTCATTGGTTTCTCCCGTGACTTGCCGTCTAGGTGGTCTTCCTCTCGCTGTTCTTGTCGCTGGTCCTGAACAGGGTGCCCTGCCTTAGCAAAGAGAAGGATCAGCAGACAAAGAGGATCCTGGCACTCTCGGGTAACTCCAGCAGTTCTCACTATTCTGACTTGGCGAAGAGCAGATTGTATCAGAACAGCGGAGCCCTCGCCGCCTCACTGACTCAGACATATGTCCCCTTAGACGGTCTTGTCTAACAATACACATCATGAGTCCCTCCCTCCACTGTCACCCTCTCCCTCAGAGCTTCCCTCTCACTGAATCCTAGGCCGCCTCAATCTCTCCTCACTCAAGCCCCACAGCTATTTCCAGCTGCTCCCCACCGCCTCTGACTGCCAGCACGTGTTTCAAATTAACATCCCCAAACAAGTATTTGCCTGCCCCACAAAGCCACTTCTTTACTGTACGTCTCATCTCAGTTAAGAGCATCACCATTCTCTCAAAATGTCAGCATAATCCTGAATTCCCTTCTCACTCCTCAATTCAGCCATCACGCCTATGGGAGTCTGCCCTGCAACTGACCAGAGCCTCCTATCACATGGATGAACCTCACAAACACAATGGTGGCAGGAAAATTAACACGGGGTTTAATCGTGCAGAACAATGCATGTCTTGTCTAGGACTGCCTGTAATGAAGAAATGCATGGGAGCGATAAAGTCCAAACCTCAGGAGACGGTTTGCCATCTGCAGGAAGGAAGTGATGCCCCCGCGAGGGGCTGGCGGTCACTGACCTGGGTGAGCAGTGGACACACTGTTAAGGAGCAGCACCCCATTCCTTATGAAGTCAAGGACGTTAGTAAGCTAACTACACACTGCCTGTACCGTCCTCGTTTCATTGATTCATGCTCCTGAATTGCTGCTCCCTCTGCCTAAAATGACTTATTTCTGCCTTGTCCTCAGCCTTGTCCATCAGAAGAGTTCTAGCTAATACTTCAAAACAAATATCAAATGTCACCTCCTCTGACTCCCACCAGGATATCTAATTTCTCATTCTTCAGTGATTCCCCCAGCACTGGGCGCATACATGCTGCCAAGTTTTATGTCATATTCTAATTCATTCACCCTCCCCTACTCACCCACTCACCTTTCTCTTCCATCCCTCCCTTCCCCCATCCTTATGCAACATCTACATTAATGTACATGCTTATAGGTGTAGGGTAAATAATGTACAATTATGTATATTATATACTATGTATCACTCATGTATTATATATGTGGCATATAGTTTAATGGGTGATTTTGTAAAATATTTCAGTATCGGCATAATACATAAAATTAATTCCACTTCTCTCATATAGGGAGTAGTTTCAGGGAGTAGTTTCAGTAGAATTTCAGCCTTGGGCACTGACATAGGAACTTGAGCTTCTTCCTCGAGTTCCTTCCCTTCTCTGGTCTACAAGACCAGGGTGGTACGTATACTACAGAGACTTCATTTTAAGAGTTGCTCCCTATAATATTTGTGAGGGGCGTTAGTACAAGAATAAGGAAAAAGCATAGAACGGGTGCTGGTTAGCCAACGGTGAAAGTGGGTGTTCAGTGGTTATCCCGATCATGTTAGTGTTAATAGGTCTGCTGCTGGTGGCCGGGTAGGCATTGGCTGAGGGCTAGGAGTGCTGTGCTTAGTTGTTTTGAGGTATGGAGTATAGAGATAGTAGTGGCATTGAACCGAGAGGATTGGGGCTAGGCTTTGTTGGAATGGATGGTAGGATCACATAGGCAGGTAGGAACTGCCACACTGGCTTGCTGTGGGGGAGGGTTTGAGGGTTGGCTGGGGTGTAGTTATCTGGTCTCCTGGAAGGTCGGGTGAAAAGAGACCTAATGTTAATGTTAAAATTCGGAGCAACAGGCTGGGGATCTTTGATGGTGTAGCAGGGGTGGAAAGGAATTGTCTGTCAGATGGGATTCCTGTTGGGTTATTGGATCCTGTTTCGTGAAGGAATAGATGTTCAATTACTAGAGCTGAGATAAGAGTAAATGGTAGGATGAAGTGGAAGGCAAAGAATCGGGTGAGGGCGGCTTTATCCGCCGAGAATCCTCCTCAGATTCCCTCAACCAGGCTGGTTCGAATGTCTGGCATTGCTGAGATTTGTAATGATGGTTGCCCCTCAAAAAGATACTTGCTCTCATGGTAGTACATAACCCATAACTGTTGTTGCTGTTACAGTAAAGAGTAAAATGATTCTGATATTCCAGGTCTCTGTGAGTACATAAGATTTGTAATATAGAGCTTGTCCCATGTGTAGAAATAAGCAGTAAAAATATGAATGAGCCCTGGCCAGTGTGGCTCAGTTGGTTGAGCATCGTCCCATGCACCACAAGGGTTGTGGGTTCGATTCCCCATCAGGGCACATACCCAGGTTGCAAGTTTGAACCCCAGTCAGAGTAGGAAGCAACCGATCGATGGTTCTCTCCCTTCCTCTCTAAAATCAAACTTTTTAAAATGAATGCTCCGTTGGTATGTAGATATTGGGTAATTCAGCCATAGTTTACATCCTGGCAGATGCTATTGCGAAAGAGAAAGCAGGGATTGTCTGACGTGAGGTATAGAGCCAGAAGCCCTGTGAGGATTTGCTGGGCAGGCAGATTCCTGCAAGGGATGTGGAGTTTCATCAATGAGTGAGTTGTTGATCATTTTAATTAGTGGGTGAAATTTTTGGATATTGGTCATTACTGTTTTATAGTTCAAATACAGTGATGATTTTTCATGTCATTGGTCCTGGATAGATTCCATGTAAGAATAATGACTGGCCCTAACCGGTTTGGCTCAGTGGATAGAGTGTCGGCCTGCGGACTCAAGGGTCCCATGTTTGATTCCGGTCAGGGGCATGTGCCTTGGTTGCGGGCATGTCCCCAGTGGGGGGTGTGCAGGAGGCAGCTGATCGATGTTTCTAACTCTATCCCTCTCCCTTCCTCTCTGTAAAAAATCAATAAAATATTTTTTAAAAAAAGAATAATGATTGACATAATGTATTTTAAGTAGTTTTTGTGATTAGTTTTGTGGGATTTTCTTCAAAACACTCACCAGTTTATGGAGGACTTGAGTCGATTGGGAGTGGAGGGGGTGGTTGTGGGACTGTGATGAATTTTGTTGGGTCTTCTTTAGGCTTGGAAGTATTTTCAATTGATTTGTAGGAAATGTTGGGAGTCTTTGGTTATACAACAGCTGTGGCTACTGAACAATATCCCAAAGTGTGAGTTTCTAATAAAACTGTCCTGGGAGCATTTGCCTCTGGTTTAATTAGAGAAGTTATATTAATTTTATGTGAACTAAAAATGAGGAGGTGGAGGTTATATTTAAGATTAATGGGCCAGGGGGCTGGGCTGTTCATGACACTGGGGATGCGGGGTTTTTCAGAGAAGCTGTGGGTACTACGGCTTTCTAAGGTTATATAGTTGACTTGTAGTCAAAGGAAAGGTTACTGGTCGATCCTTGCTTACTGGAGTCCTTATTATAGAAATTACTTGTGGAAACTATAATGTGGCTTAGTGTCAGTGTAATCAGAAAAAAGAGAAGCACAATTTGACTAGTCCTTTTTGGTTGGATGGTAGTGGAGCTTTTATTTGGAACTGGGAGATCAGTTTTGGTAAAACATTTTCTAATCAGATTAGGTTGAGCAGTAGTGGTGCTGACTCTTGGTTCATTTTGCTGATAACGTTCATTAATGGTGAGAGGTGGTAGCTGATAGTTGGAAACTACCCAAGAAGGTTAGAGAATTTGAAAAGGTTTGAAGGATAATTAAATTTTAGATGCTGTGTCATAAGGTTGAGTTCAAGTACAAGAACAAAACCTAGTGCAGTTACCGAGGGCTGTTAGTTTCAAATAAGATGTAGTTATCTGTGGAATAGTTGTTGGGGTAAAACTGTTGGAAATAAAGAAAGCAGCCAAGCCCTAACCGGTTTGGCTCAGTGGATAGAGCGTCGGTCTGCAGACTGAAGGGTCCCAGGTTCGATTCCGGTCAAGGGCATGTACCTTGGTTGCGGGCACATCCCCAGTAGGGGGTGTGCAAGAGGCAGCTGATTGATGTTTCTCTCTCATCGATGTTTCTAACTCTCTAACCCTCTCCCTTCCTCTCTGTAAAAAACCAATGAAATATATTTAAAAAAAAAAAAAAAAGAAAGAAAGCAGCCAAGATGCTTCTCATGAAGACACATTTAATAGAACGTGTTGGGAGGCTTGTTTGTATTAAGGCAGCGGTTCTCAACCTGTGGGTCGTGACCCCTTTGGCGGTCAAATGACCCTTTCACAGGGGTCGCCTAAGACCATCCTGCATATCAGATATTTACATTACGGTTCATAACAGTAGCAACATGACAGTTATGAAGTAGCAACGAAAATAATTTTATTGTTGGGTCACAACATGAGAACTGTATTTAAAGGGCCAGAAGGTTGAGAACCACTGTTAAGGTTAGAGGAGGAGAGCGTGGTTGTGCTAGGACAGAGATGCCTGAAGACTGCAGAGGCTGCTAAGGAAGTGGCACGAGGGGAGTCAGCAGGGCTCAGGCGTAGCCTCCTGCCCACCTGGGCTGTGAGGTGCAGGATGGCTCTTCAGCTCCCACCTGACAGCCTGCACTCGCTGCCTCCCTGCGGCATGCGTGTTAGGTTTGGGCGACAAGGTCTTTGGAGAAGAATCCTGTGAGGAAAGGCCTTCCCGTAAGTGCGAGGCTTTCATAATGAGTGCAGTGCAGGGGAAGGAAGGGTGACGTGATACATAGGCTGCCAACTTTGTCTTCAGGTTATGATTAATAACGCTCCCAGAACTAAAAATGCGTGTGTGCCGATGTGGTTAATGCCGATGGTCACTATTCTTAGGCCGAATTGGCTTGAGGTAGAAAAGGCGACAATGATTTCAGTTCCGTTGTGAGTGAGCGTAGCTTGCTGTGATCGTGTGGTAATGGCTCCTGGGCATGATCTAGTTCGGATGAGCTCAGTTTTCTGTTAATGCTGAATCGAGTAACTAGGAAGATGCCTGCTGTGACTGCTGTACTTGGGTGGCTGGAGCAGGGCTGACGGTGCGGGACCTTCTACAGTGGAAGGCAGTCGTGGGTGATGTCCGAATTGAGTGGGTTTTCCTGTTGCAGCTAGAAGGAGCCCAGCCAGTGGGAAAGTAGTATTGCTAAGGTTGAGTAAAAAGATCGGTTGAAGATCTTTAGAGTCAAAATTAAACAAGAATCACGCCATCGACACAGTAAATCGATGTCTCCGATGCAGTTACATACGACTGTAGTGTTTGCGTCTGTTCGACCATCATCTGGTTAGTAGGAATGATGTCAGTCCCCTCCTTCTCATCTGATGACTAGTTGAAAAGGATTGTTAGTGGGGCATAAGATTAATAGTATGAGACGTATAAGGAGGTATTTAAGAAATTGGCTAATCATAGGATCTGAGAGTGTATATCATGCTGAGAATTCTGTGATCGAGCTCAGGAGTAGTGGCTCCTGGTGTAAATACAGGGTGTCCCCCAAAAATGTACATGCACTTTGAGTGATTATAAAGTCAGTGTTGCCCTAACCAGTTTGGCTCAGTGGGTAGAGTGTCTGCCTGCGGACTCAAGGGTCCCAGGTTCGATTCTGGTCAAGGGCATGTACCTTGGTTGTGGGCACATCCCCAGTAGGGGATATGCAGGAGGCAGCTGATTGATGTTTCTCTATCATTGATGTTTCTAACTCTCTATCCCTCTCCCTTCCTCTCTGTAAAAAAATCAATAAAATATATTTTTAAAATACTGGGCTCGGAGCATTATCGCACCCTAGGGTAGGTAATACAGCTGCAAGAACTACAGAGCCAGCAATGGGACTTCTCCGTGTACTTTTTGGTCATAGAGGCCACAGAGAGGCCTTTTTACTGTAAGTGCTATGATTCTGCATGCGAGTCATAGAAAAGTATTAGATCAAGAAGTAGGCAGAGATGCCGAAACTGGTTTGGCTCAGTGGATAGAGCATCGGCCTGCGGACTGAAGGGTCCCAGGTTCGATTCCGGTCAGGGGCATGTACCTGGGTTGCGGGCACATCCCCAGTGGGGGATGCGCAGGAGGCGGCTGATCGATGTTTCTCTCTCATCGATGTTTCTGACTCTCTATCTCTCTCCCTTCCTCTCTGTGAAAAATCAATAAAATATATTTTAAAAAAAAAAAAGAAGTAGGCAGAGGCTGAATTCAGTACTAAGCTAGTAGGAATGTAAGGAGCCCAGCTGGTGTGCTCAGTGGTTGAGCATCAACCTATGAACCAGGAGGTCATGGTTCAATTCCTGGTCAGGGCACATGTCTGGGTTGCAGGCTCCATCCCCCATAGGGGGCGTGCAGGAGGTAGCTGACCAATGATCTCTCTCATCATTGATGTTTCTATCTCTCTCTCCCTCTCTGAAATCAATAAAAATATATAAAAAGTAAAGAGCCTATAGGTTTTACATATGGATTAGTGCAACGAGGTGTGGAAGTGACCCACAGTGTGTGAAACGGGAAGTGAAGTCCTGCCTCAGTCGTCTGTTAGACTTCCTCAGCCGGTGAGGATGAGGGTAGCACTAGCACTGCTTCAAATAGACTGTAAAATGGGATTAGCTCTGCGGTGGTGAACATTATCACTAGGAACGTTGGCCGCGTGTCCTGGAATGGCTGGCACTGCAGAATCTCGGGCTTCACCCCAGAGCCTGCACTTAACAAAACTGTGAATGTTAAAGTCTGAGAAGCACCCCTGGGGCGTGCTCCCAGCATGTGCCCCACGGCCTAGAACTGTTTGTTTCTAGCCCAAGATAAGCACAGAAATGGAGTAAGCAAGTTAGAAACTTTTATAGCAACTGAGCAGACTTAACTTCAGGCTGGAAACTGATCTTATAGGCTAAGAAGTCCATCATGATAGCGGGAGCATCTCCTTAGGGGTTTTCTTTGTTTCTTCAACATTTAACAGGAGGTACTCGTAATAGATGCTCAACTAACACCAATGAATAATTGCTTAACAAAACATAACATTTCTTGGCCTATATTTGACTTTCTGACAGCAAAATGTCCTCCATCATTGCCTGGTTCAAGAGATAAGAGGAACCCTGTCTATGTAGCGCCAGCTATGAACAGTCCAGTTACGCGCCCAGAAAGAACCTTGAAAGAGAAGCAGCTCTTCAAGCTGACGGGGGAGATTTTGGGTATGGAGATGGGGCATGTCGATGCGCAGCGCAGTGCCCAGCGAGGACGGGGGCGGGGATAAATGGGAACTACGGGAGGGTAAGGGCATTTTAAGGCGTTCATTTCTGGGCTCCGGTAAACAAGGTGGTGGGTAAACGGGGACTCCTGAAGTCTGGAGATCTCACTGAGTGCTTGCGTAAGTCACTTTCTCTGCCTACGGGATGTAAGAACAAAACTGGATCCACCTCCTCCACAGGGTGGAGGGAGCACGGATGTGCTCTGAAAAATGGGTATCCTGTCCGTGCCTGGAGCTGTTACACAGCTGGCGTGGAGAGTACTGGTTCCCTGACCCCAAGGAGAGAGATTGTTTCCACTGTGCCTTCCCTTCTTGTGAACACGGAGGGGGTGGGGGCGGGGGGAGGCTTTAGTTTTAAGAACTAAAATACAAAAATTGTGTGTGGGATTTTATGTATCTTAAGTAAAATTTCTAATTAGTGGCAGAATGATTCTTGGAAGGGATATATAGATATATAGTATCAGTAACAGCCAAATGTTTTTGCTTATGTTTACAATTATTAGGTTAAACCATGTGAAGTTGTCAGTTTTTGACTGTTTTTGGTCTGTGGAAGTGTATTGTAGACTTAGAAAACATGAAGAACAAGCTGTAGAGGCTGTCTAAGCTAAAGGCTCAGTGATGGTTGTGTTCTCTGCAACAGCACAAATCCTCTTCCTGGTCCTGTTGATGACTGCGGTCCACTCCTCGCAGAACCCCAGCCGCTTCCACCTCCATCGGGCTCTCAGGAAGAGCTTTTCTCGCGGCTTCTCGGAGATCAGCCTTCTGCAGCACTTCTACCCCTGGGCCAGGCACACCCTCCTTCCCAACCTGTATGGGGATCACAGAGGTAAGGACACAGTCCTGGGCCCGGCCATGCAACTGTGGGGTTCAGTTACTTTCCCAGACACCCCACCATGATGTGCTGGACACGGGAGGAAGGTCAGCTGCCTTTTCCGCATGGCTGTACCCATGAGGGGGAAGGCGCGGCACCCCAAGGATTCCACTCCCTGGACCTCATCTGAGCAGGTTCAGGTTTATGTTTCTCCAGTCAAGGGTGATCAGGCCCCTGGGGTGGATCCCCACTGGTGAGTCTCACAAGAGGCTGATAAGAGTGAGGATTTAGCCAAAACCGGTTTGGCTCAGTGGATAGAGCGTCAGCCTGTGGACTGAAAGGTCCCAGGTTCGATTCCGGTCAAGGGCATGTACCTTGGTTGCGGGCACATCCCCAGTAGGAGGTGTGCAGGAGGCAGCTGATCGATGTTTCTAACTCTCTATCTCTCTCCCTTCCTCTCTGTAAAAAATCAATAAAATATATTTTTTTTAAAAGTTAAAAAAAAAAAAGAGTGAGGATTTATTCACTCATAGCAGGGGTGGGGAACCTCCTTTCTGCCCAGGGCCATTGGGATATTTACAACATTCGCAGGCCATACAAAATTATCACCTTAAAAATTAGCCTGCTGTTTGGTTAAATATTAACTCACTCCTAATGCCTTGGCAGCGCCAGACAAATGATTTCGAGGGCCTGATGTGGCCCGCTGGCTGGACGTTCCCCACCCCTGCCTTATAGCATAAAAAGTAACGGGAGGGTCCCAGCGGGTTTGGCTCAGTGGATGGAGCGTTGGCCCTCGGACTGAAGGGTCCAGGTTTGATTCCGGTCAAGGGCACATGCCTGGGTTGTGGGCTCAATCCCCAGTAGGGAGCGTGCAGGAGGCAGCCGATCAATGATTCTCTCTCCTTATTGATGTTTCTATTGCTCTCATCCTCTCCCTTCCTCTCTGAAATCAATAAAAATATATTTTAAAAAAGTAACGCGAGTAGTCCCTGAGACTGGTTGCCTCCTTGCGAAGAGAACCTCATGTGGCTGAGAAGGTTGTTCAGTAAGCACAGAACCAGGGAAATGGTAACCAGAAAGATCTATTGGGTACATTGCCTTGTGTGCCATCTTTCCAAGTCTGTGATGTGTTTGTAACTTTTCTTGTTTAGTTATCCAGTTCAGTTGCACAAATATATATTGAGCACCTAGTATGCTGGGAACTCCCTAGGAGCTAATGATAGAAAGATGGATATAATATGGTCTGTATCTTTAAAGAAACTCACCATCAAGAGCATTTGGCAGGCTTTGCCCGGACAGTGCTGCAGAAATGCTAAACGATGTCTTCCCTAAAGAATGCTGCTAGTTCAGTATTTTTCACCAGTTACCAACACTTCGTCATATTATTACTTTGTATCCTGTTCAGTAAGCTGTATTCTGGAAATTGTTGCATTCATTTAGCTCGGGATTGGTGGCTTCCTTGGAATTTAGAACACCTGAAAAAATCAAGACATGTTCATCTCGGCAAACATTCAGTCTTCTCTTAAAGATGTACGAGGTGCCTTTAGAAGAGATTTTTACTCCTACTTGTTGCAAGTTGATTCTTTCTAGTTCAGTTTTAGGTGGCGACAGTTCTAGGATCAGGGCACATTCAATGTGCAGTCGGTAACCCTGTGCTGAATAAAATGCTGACTAAAAAGGAAACTGAGCTGCAGGTGACTAAGCTGCTGCCATTAGGATAGGTCCGGTTCTCTTCTTGGACTGCTTGGTTCTGCAGTACAGTGTCCTGGTTTGGCTCAGTGGATAGAGCGCCGGCCTGCGGACCAAAGGGTCCCGGGTTCGGTTCTGGTCAAGGGCACGTACCTCGGTTGCAGATTCCTCCCCAGCCCAGGCCCTGGTCGCGGCTCGTGCAGGAGGCGACCGATTGATGAGTTTCTCTCTGTCTTTCTCTCTTCCACTCTCCCTGAAAATCAATGGAAATCCTCGGGTGAGGATTAACAAAACAAAAGCTTAGTATATCTAGGTGTTTAGTGTATCAGCACATGGTATTCACTGCGTAAGTGCTAGCTATTGTTAACTGGGAAATAGAAGCTCGGGCTAATCTAGAACCAAAGAGTACATGAATTACCTGGAATCACCAGATTGCAGCAGCAATCTGTAGATGGTGATAAAGAAACAGAACTAGGTAGACATGGGTGAAGCACAGTAAAAATCGGCCCTAACACGGGTTATCTCTTCAGTTCTAAAAATCTTTACTTTCAGAATTGACGTAACCCAGTCCTCTTAGTCCAGTTGTTTTCAGGAACATTGAAGCCCAAGCCGTTCGTGGCAGATAATCGATATCCTGTAAACACTTACCCTTCCTAAACAGCATGTCCCAGCGTTCAGTCACATACAGGGAGGGTCTTTTCCTTTGCAGGATTTAATTCACATTTCTCTTGCTGTAATTTAAGCTTGCTTTTTCTTTTTTCTTCTGATGGAAAACTGATCAAAATTTTATCATAATTTTATGTATTTTTCATTTAGGAAATACAAAGTGAAACCATATTTGAAGGTTGTCACTTCCTCCCTTCATCTTCTGCAGAAGTCCCAGTCCTTTAACTTTCCACCTGTTCCCGGAAAACCTATTCCTGCCAAATTCTCTAACATGATTTTTTTCTGTCATGGTAATATACTTGTTAAGGCCGGCCAGTGTGGCTCAGTAGTTGAGCATTGAACTATGAACCAGGAGGTCACAATTCGATTCCTGTTGTGGGCTGGCATGCAGGCGGTAGTTGATTGATGTTTCAATCTCTCTATCCCTCTCCCTATACTTAAAAAAAAAACTTAATAATTAAAACATGAACATGGAGAAAATTCAGTGTACAACAGTGTATATTATACAACTCTCCTTTGTTCCATAATCCCCTTTTCTCTTTCCAAGAGGCAACTACATTCCCAATTTATTATATATTCTTTCAGAGGTAATCTATGCATTTGCAAATATATCTGATCATAAATGGTAACACACTAGAAACATGGTCATGCACACTTTGCTTTTTTCCCTTGAGTTTACCTGGAAATTGTCCATCAGTATATGTAAAGCCGACCCTGTTATGTTTTATTCAGTTTCTACACAGAATGCCACTGCATGATGTACCCTGATTGATACAACAGCTCCCTATTGATAGACATTTGTTTCCAATCTTTTAACATTACCATTACTCTCATTGTACATATGTAATGTTACACATGTACAAATATATGTAAGCTAAATACCTTGAAAAGATTTGCTAAAAATGTATATACATTTTTAATTTAGAAAGATAATTGCCAAATTGTTCTCCTTAGTTATTGTAACAATTAACACTCCCATGAGCACCGTATAAGACATGAGTGGGGCCCCATCTCCTACAGCCCAGTGAAAGGGGTGTTTTCCAGCACAGGCCGCTCTGAGATATAGGAAAGACTTTGCAGCTGCACTGGCCAGAAAATAAAAGTTGAAACTAAACTAAGAAACCGTTTTTCACCTCCAAGGGGCAAAACTTGCCTCTGCCCTTGCCCTTCTTCATTCCATCTTCCCCGATGTTATTTCTTTAAAACATAAATCTGCAGAATGGAGGCGATGCTGGTACTTCACATGATTTCAGGTATGGCCTGACTGATGCCTGGCCCATCAGGTGATTTCAAGTATAGATTAAAAAAACACAGACATCTGTGTTACTCCCTTGTTTAAAACCTCCCAATAGAGTCCCATCACATTTATTTATTTATTTATTTATTTTATTGCTTAAAGTATTACAAAGAGTATTACATATGTCTCCTTCCCCACCCCCACCCCCCCCCCCGAGTCCCATCACATTTAAAATCCCAAACCCTTTCCAAAGCTTACAGGGGCCTGCCCAGTCTGGCCCCTAAAATACATCTGTTATTTCATCTCCAGCCCTAACCCTCATTCACTCTACATGAGCCACCAAAGTGGCTTTCTCTAATCACCCTTCCCAAGTGAATAGCTCTGCTCCCTCCCCACAAAACACTCTCTATCCCTTCATCCTAAATTTTTCTTCATAGCAGCCATTACCAGAATATTGTCTGGTTATTGCCTCTCTCCCTCCTCACATGTGAGCTCTCTGTGGACAGGGACTCTTTTATCCACTGCTTTGTTCCTAGCACCTAGAACAGGATCTGGTATATGTGAGCATTTAATACAGATTGACTGAAAGAATGAATGAATGATTGAATGCCATTCCAAAATCTTGCCCGTCTTTCATTGGGTTGCTTGATTTTGTTTGCCTGTTTTGATAAATAGAAACCTTTTATGTACTAAGAGCTTGTTTAGTTGTAGATACAGATTTATATATTTATGTGGATACAAACTAAGAACTTAAATTGGGGAATTATTATCTTTATAATGTTCTCTTCCTATATGGAAATATGGTATGCTTTTCTATTCTCATCTCATCCACAGTAACATTCACAATTGCTCATCATAAAATTTTTGCACATCTCTTGTTAGGCTTACCTTTTGTGTTACTATTGTAAATGAGATGTTTTATTTCTCTATAATATCTAAGTAAATATTATTTGGATATATGAAGGATATTTAGTACCCAGCCACCTTGCTGAATTGCCTTGCTGTAATAGTTTTTAGATTCATTTCCACTGCCCCAGCTTTATTGAGGTATAACCGACAAAAATTGCATGTATTTAAGGCGTAACATATTTTGGTATACAACCACATTGTGAAATGATTACCACAATCAAGCTAATTAACATAGCCATCTCACAAAATTGTGTGTTTGGTTTGTTTTGGTGTGGTAAGTTATAGGGCGGTTTCAAGATCCTTAGACTGTTTGGAAAGCTTGCCTCCGGGGGCTTCTGGACCACAGCTGAGGGGCTGCAGCTGGGTCTCAGCCACGTTATGGTCCACAATCAGGACTGCCTTCTGCAGGCCCATTATCTGAGGCACAGACAGGAATGACCCCTCCTGAGTCCCTTGGCATGTGGTGCTGGTGGCAGGATCAAGGTCAAATGGCACTGTAGCAACGCCCACAGGAGGACAGAGCTGTTTCTAGATCTGTAGCCAGGCCCACAATTGGTGAGTTAACCTTGGGGGGACCTGCCTTCTCAAAACAGACCTTGTTTGTCTTGGACTTCATGGAGTTTCACAGTCACCCACTAAATCTCAAAATGCCCACAAAGGCACTTCTGTCTGCAGGGACCTGCCAGATTATTACTGAGAGACACAAGTAAGGGACCTCATATTCCACTATCTCCCTCAGTTGTCAGGATCTACCTACACCAGTGGTCGGCTCGCAAGCAACATGCGGCTCTTTGGCCCCTTGAGTGTGGCTCTTCCTAAGCCTTAGGAGTACCCTAATTAAGTTAATAACAATGTACCTACCTATATAGTTTAAGTTTAAAAAATCTGGCTCTCAAAAGAAATTTCAATTGTTGTACTGTTGTTATTTGGCTCTGTTGACTAATGAGTTTGCCGACCACTGATAGACCATTACCTATACATTATCTAGTTCGTTAGATCTGGTTGCATTAACTGGAAACTCCAAAAATGTTTTTAAAAACAGTGGTGACACTGCAGTTTTTGTTAAGAACATAACGAGGCAGTTTTTACAATGGCTTCCTGTACTCTCTCACTAGGATTTATTACCGATGGGAACTCCTTTCTTTTGGGCAATGTTCTGCTTCGTCAGATTCGCATTCTGAAGCCATCTCATCAAGATCTGGAGGATACAGAGAACTACGGGGTTAACTGGAGCCCCCCCGAAGCAAACAACACAGAATCGGACAGCATTTGGCATTATCAGAATCCGGAGGCATGGGGTGGCTACCCCGTCCCAGGGGAGTTTGCCACTTACTCGGGAGGATACGCTGTCAGACTCGGGAGGAACTCTAGTTCTGCAGCCAGGTGAGCGAGCCTGAGCCCTCAGCAAGAGGACCAAGGTGTTTGCTTCGGTCCGTTCTTAGGACAAGTAGGAATTAGGACCCATTTGAGTAGTTTGACAGCAACTATAATGACACTTGTAGACACCTTTATTTCAGGCTTTTAAGGAAATGTATCTTTTAGTTTGAAAATTCCTTGTTCAATCTCAAACTACAGGGTTATGTTTTAGCATGCCGGTTTGCCAAATCTCATTCTTTTTCTCATCTGGAAAAACAACAGATCAGCTGAACTCGGTAAGTCTAGCTTGGGCAAACTATACTCTTCAAACATGAGAGAGAACACAACCCTTCTTAAGAACCACAAGTAATCCAAAATTCAAATGCCCAAAATAAACTCAGAGAGATCTAGGTTAGTGTTTATATGAATCCTGAGAGTCTTTGTCATTATGTATGAAAATGTCTGTTAAATTATTCATTTAAATTTATAGCAAAACATTAAAAACAATGCAAATCAAATGGCATTCCGACCCCTTACACCTCTCAGAACTGAATATATATTAGTAAAGAGTAGCATTTAACACTTCAAATAGAAGTAGTTGACAGAGCATATAAAATTCTACCTCACACTTCAAATGCCAAATATATTCTTTTGAACGTTTAACCTTGGTGTGACTACTATTGTGAAAACTTTATCCTTACTATAGTCTTTTATAGTCACGTAATCACTAGTGAAAGTGTGGGCATTGGTAATTATAAAATACTGCACAGGTCGTCTAGGTCAGGGAATGTAGCTTCTCATCTGGTCTGAGTAATATTGGAAATGCCAGGGCATTTAGCTCCTTTACAAGGCTGAGTGGAGCAAGTAGCAGGCCTGTCCCCTGTCTTCCCAGAGTTCTGCAGCATCTTGAACAGAGCCGCTGGCTAGACCGTCGCACCAAAAGCCTCTTTGTGGAATTTGTGGTCTTCAATGCTAACGTGAACCTGTTCTGTGTAGTGACCCTGATTCTGGAATCCAACAATGTGGGTACGAAGGCCTCTTCTCTCCTCCCTCTGACCTGGGTATCTCAGAAGTCCCGATTTCTTACATCATTAAAAGACACTATTTTAATTAAAGTTATTACACATAATATAATTTTAAAAGTCAAATAGTTAAGGCAAAACCTAGCAGTCCTCATACCCCACCTCATTCTTATACTCTTGAGAAACTTTCAGCTTTTTTAACTGGTTCTTTTGGAGTTTAAAAATTAAAAGGATTATTAGCTATTTCATGAACCTTCCAATTTTAGATAGTATGTATTTTTTATGAGGATTTAACTTTCTTATACCCACAAATATCCCTAACATATACACACATATACATACCTTCTCTCTTTTCTCATTTTCCCAGTATAACTTATGGTTAATATTGAGTATTTCCATTATTGTGATAATATATTTTTCAAAGATTAGCCATGTAATGTATTACAATTCCTTTTCTTTCGTAACTGTTTGTTTTCCCTAGTTTATAGTTTTTGGTTTTGCATGCATTCTATTAATTGGAGATGTAAGATTTCCTAGAAGTAAATCTCATTCTGTTCAAAAATTTCACGTAAGCTATCATTTTGTGACCCTTTTTCTAGGTCCCTCCATCCTTTTGGTACAGTGGGATCGGTTATTCTCCAGGCCTGCTCTAGAGTCCTATCCTGACTCTCCCTTCCCTGCCACCCCAGGGTTATCCTCACTTCTCTCCTCAGCTGGGCCTCCTTTCTCCTAGATCCCATGTCTTCCTCTCTTGGTTTACTTCCCATTTTGCTGGAGCACATCCTAACTTCCTGGAAGGATATAAGGGAAGTACATTTTTTGAAGCCTTACATGTTAAAAAAAATTTTTGTCATCACATTTGGTTGCTTATTTGACTGGATACAATTGTTTTCTGGAAAGTACAGTCCATTGCCTTCTAACTTCTCATACTGTTAATATGATGGTCCCACTCCCAAGTTTTTAGAATTGTCTTTGTCCCCAGGGTCATGAAAGGATCTGACCGACCTCCTGGTAAGGCCTTTCATCTGAAAATGTGTCCCTAAGCTCTGATAAGTTTTACTTGCATTTCTTTGTAAACTTCCCCTCTATTTTCTCTTCCTGACATTCCTAGAATTTTGAGGTAGGAACTCTTGAACTGATCCTCTGATTTTCTTAGGTTTTCGCTATTTTCCATATTATTTCTGAAAGATTACTTCAATTTCTAAACCATTTGAAATTTTCATCTTTATATTTGAATTTCTAAGAATTGTGCTCATATTTCTTTTGCATAGTCTCCTGTTTATGGAATCAATATCCTCTCAACTCTGAGGATACTGTAGGTTCATTTTGTTTTTATCAGCTTCATTTTCTCTAATTTCTCTGAGCTTTTTATTTTTTATTTGCTTTAATTTCTGGTTTTTAATGTTAAAGTTTTAAGTATCTGGCTGTTCTTTCATATTTGAAACAGTAAAAAAAAAAGCAAACAAATGCTAATTAGGAACTCTGTGTGCGTGGATAGAGATTGTCACCCGGCACCTGTCTTTTCTCTTGGGCAGTCAGTTTTCAGGAGGGACCCTTCCAACGCCTGTCCTGAGGATAAGCCTGTTAAAGAAGTTGAGGGGAGTAAGGATCTCACCATGCAGTATGTAAACTTCCTCTTAAGTCCCTTTTCCATAGACTTGCAGATGTACGCCGAGTTCAGATTTCTCTCTAGTTCAGCGTCACTAGGAAATAAACCTTTAGTCTTGGGGTAGTGGAAGGCAGGATGGGTGGCTATCTGGTTGTGACAGGGAGGAAATCTGCAATCTGTTTAAGTTCATTCTTGCCATCAATTCCACTTTCAGTTCCAATTGACCCTCTACCTTCAGAGGCACCTGCTGCCCCTCATTTCCAGCCTTTCTAGGGTTTGTGGTAAGAATGGGCTGGCTTCTTACTGCTTAGGTTTCAGCTTTCTTGAATCTGCTGAGTCAGTGTCATCTGCCCATTTTCCAGCTTCCACACAGTTTGTTCCTCTTCTTTACCTTAGTCACTTTTCATCCCTTCATTGTCATTGTAGAGGCTTTTGTTAAGGGATGAGAGGGAAACTGGTACATTGACTTCCCCTCCCTTTAACAGGAGGTCTGTCCTAATCCTTTTCTTTCTTCTCTCCCCCAGAATTTGCCCACAAGTGTCCTTCTATTTACCACCAGGGTTTACTTCTAGTCAGGAATTTCTTCTTCCCAGGCCCACACAGAGTACCCCACTTCCCTATACTTACTTCCTGAGGGAAAGTCCCAGTCTTTTTTTTTTTTTTTTAAGGCATTCTTTTTAAAAAATATATATATTTTTTATTGATTTTTTACAGAGAGGAAGGGAGAGGGATAGAGAGTTAGAAACATCGATGAGAGAGAAACATCGATCAGTTGCCTCCTGCACACTCCCCACTGGGGATGTGCCCACAACCAAGGTACATGCCCTTGACCAGAATCGAACCTGGGACCCTTGATTCTGCAGGCCAATGATCTATCCACTGAGCCAAACCGGTTAGGGCAGAAAGTCCCAGTCTTGAGAGCTAACTATGTGAAGTAGGAATTTGTTCTTAAAATGGCACTTTCTACTAAGGGCATATCTTAGTTCTAGTATTTTGGGGCTTTGTGAAAAGTTATATTCACAAGATCTTTCATACTTTTATAAAACTGCAACAAAATCACTGTCTTTCTAGGTGGAGTCTGAAGCTTTTTAAGTCTATCATACAGACATCTGAGTATTCATGGGATAATATTAATGCTTTAAATACATTTGAAATTGTTCAAAGCATTTTAATCATACTACTTTCTAAAAATATATTATAAATAGCTTTAAACGAAAGTACCACACTTACGTTTGACTCTGTTGTCCCCATTTTACATTGCAGTGATCAGTTCTCTGTAAAACACCAGCTTCCAACAGTAGGTCTGTATATCCCTGCGGCCATTCTAACTCATAAGGGTAACACCTGTAACAGCTATTCAATCATTGACACTGCCCTCTAGGTGGGATCAACAGTATAATCCTGTCCCCTCTACTCACTTTTAATGCAATAAGCACATTTCTCCAATAGCTTTGCACATGATTTCATTTAATATTCATTACACCTCTAGAGGAAATACTGAGCTTAGAAACTCAAGAACATTTGAAACAAAAAACAGAATGACAGTTGGGGTTATTTCAAAGACAGAGTTTGAAGGAAAAGTTCTAAAGACTCATGACTCCATGTTATTTTCAGGTGCTTTCTTCGCCTCTGTAAGACTGGACACTTTAACTTCCCTTCAGACATCAAGGAAGGACTTTGCCTGGTCTGTTGCCTCACAAGTCATCTATTATCTACTAGTCTGTTACTACGGCTTCATACAGGTGAGTTGAAAATTCTCAGGCTTGCCAGGTATTCTTTGGGGAGCTACACAATGAGCTATTATTGCTTGAAGTATAGCTGATTTGGTCTTTTCCAGAAACTTGACTTCAGTTAAAGGCTTAGTTTTCCACAAAGTAGCTCTTTCAGTTTTCAAGAGTTAAAGAAGTAGGTCTGTATAAAGATTATTTTGTGTGCAGTGTTATTAACCCTATAAACTATAAAGCAACAGCAAGACTGAAAGCACGATGAACAGAGCAAGTACTCAAAATACAGATGCTGTACTCAAAAGATAACATATCTTAAGCCACAGCGTTTTCTTTATTTTCAGGCTTGATAACTAACTTAGAAACTTTTTTTATTAAGTTTAAGCAATGAGAAAAACGACTGTACCCAGTGAAAGCTGTATTAGAGAAGGCCATCTTTTCGTAAGCAGCAGCTGAGTGACTACAGAGCAGAACTGAGACTATAACATTGTGCCCAGGTCAGATCGAAGTCCCCAGCTGAGCGCGCTTTGCCAGTGTTCCTGACATTTCATTAGGGGAGACGCAGCTAACAGTTCAGGCAAGCAGCAGTGACGGTGCTGTCTGTTTAGGGTCGCCGGCTGAAACAGCAGAGATGGAGGTTCTTAACGAGGAAGAAAAACATTCTGAACATGAGCATAATCCTTACCAGCTTTGCCATCTTGATGCTTGACATCAAGCTTATTTCTCTACATAAGAAGAACATGGCACAATACCACTACGACCGTGACAGGTAAGAGGGGGCCCGAGAAGCAACAGACGTTCCTCCTCGATGTCCAAAGTGTCCTGATTCACACAGGATTCTTTCAAACTCCCTCTCCTCCTCCACTGCTTTGGTATTTTTGTATAATACCAACGTTAAACAGAAACCTCAGACTAATGTCCCCAGCAGAGAAAACAATTAACTAGAAGCTTATATTGCTAATCAAGTTCTTCTGCCTTTCACAGCACAGGGGCCTGGATGTGTCCTTCTATTTACCACCTGGGTCATTACTTTGCACCCTGGCCAAGGAATAAAACCTAAGACAAGACAAATGGTAATCTTTTAAGTAAAACCACAACAGGTAGTACATACTTAAATCCAAAGCAGCTGCTTTCTGGGTAGGCATGTTCACCCATTCTGGTGCCCCTGATCAACCTTTTCTAACCTTTCATGGTCAACAGCCTGGGCTACTGATCTGTGTAAGACTGAGGCACTGTCCCAGGAAGGGCTGCTATGCAGGGACAGTGGGTCTGTGCAGTCTGAATGATGCTGGCAGCTGAGCTCCAGCCTATTGTGTGGCATTGCCTAGTTTTTAGACAATAAAAGAATTGTGATTGAATGCCAACATACTCATATCTATGGTGGTCTAGATGCTGCAACAAAATTATGATATGAATGCGTCTCTCAAATAACAAAACCTAAAAAAATACAATAAACCAGCTCCTAATTGGTTACGAACACCCCTCACCTCTAGGTTAATCATCTTTCTACTCTCAGCACTGGTAAACCTAGAGGATCAGTTATCTACTGGCACAGGACAGTACAGGATTACAGCATGACAGAAAACAGACCAGCCTAATGGCACACGTCATTGTTAACTCATCTATCTCCTTTTGACAGGAGAGGTTTAACTCAAGGCAGAGCAATAGAGGCGGCTGGCCTTGGTTTCCAGGATAAACCTGGAGTAAAGAAATCAGCTACAGGTCAAAATTTCAAATTTTCTTCACAACTCCCAACCAAACACATTTCTTCTGCTCTCGTATGCACAAATACAGGAGCCCACACTAGAAGGTGGCATTCGTACATCAAACATCTCACCTAACGGGACTCACACAACTGCTACACTGGGCAGTGGGAACTGGAGAAGCTGGCAGCACAGGAATTGGTGATGGCACACAGTTCACACTGAGTAACTGTCAGCCTTCCTGCTGCAGGTTCATCAGCTTCTATGAGGCAGTAACCGTGAACTCGGCTGTCATTCACCTCATGGGCTTCCTGGTTCTGCTGGCAACTGTTCAGCTATGGACGCTGCTGCATCTTAACCCCCGGCTGCAGGTCATCGGAAGAACACTCACCAAAGCCTGGGATGAGGTGGTGGGCTTCCTGCTGGTCATTGTGATCCTGCTGACAGGCTACGCCATGGCTGTGAGCCTCATTCAGTGTCTGTCTTTCCTGGGGCCTATGGTCTTGGAGTCACTTTGCCTCCCTTAGAAAAGATCACTATATGGAAACTCATCAGTTCAAGTTGGCACTGAGTTTTGGAGAAAAAGTAGTGGAGTAAGAAAGCTGGTTTTGGTTGTAGTTCCATACTGAACAGGACTTAAATTCACACATTTGTCTCATCTCTGAAGTGGGGATAAAATTTAGCTCACAGGAATGAAGGTCCAATTTATATGAAAATACTGTGTAATTACCAAGGAATTTTATGTATTTCTTAGGCATAGTAATTGAAATAGCCACTACAGAATTTCCTTACTCCATTCGTTCTATGTTGACCTCATCGTTATCAAGCACCTCAAGACAGAAATAACTGCAATGGCCTCCACTGCTCTCCACCCCGACGCGTCTTTCTTCCTCTTTTCAGTTTAACCTGCTGTTTGGATGGAGCATGTCCGACTACCGAACGTTTGTCAGCTCAGCAGTGACTTTTGTTGGTCTCCTGATGGGAATCTCTCATTATAAGGAGGTAAAAAAAAAAATCCCGTTTTCCCTGCAGACCTCTATTTGGTTGAATATGCAGGGTTGGGCAAAAGTAGGAGTACAGGAAACAATATTTTCCACACAACTGTAAACCTACTTCTGGCTCATCCTGTATCTAACAAAGGGATGCTGTCTAAAATGCAGCCCCTGCTATCCCAATGAACACTGGAAAAGGGAGAGAGCGCCTTTGCCATTCTGGTTTATGGTACCACCGATATATACAAGCTTTTGGGTGGCTATTTTCAGAAATCTGCCCTTTCCTAACCACATGGGCCCCTCTCTCTCACTACCTGTATCCTTAATCTTACTGCCAAGGACACTGGGATTGAGCTGTGCTCTTGTACCTGACCAGATTAACACGGGGCTGCTGCTGCCTTTGCAGTGGCCCTTGGAAATATACAACGGAAATGACTTTAAAAAAAAAGGACAGTACAATTCCAGAAGAGCTGTGACATATCTGTTAACAAATACTCATTTCAGAGAACCTATTATTCCTCTCCAGGAAATACCAATAGAACCCCTTTCCATTCCACATAAAAAAATTAAGTAGGAAACCCAGATAAGAACTTGGGTCCAATGCACAAGCATATATTAGATTTGATTAGGGAAGGGAAAAACTGCAATTCAAATTAGTGAAACTGACAAGATTTCCATCAAGGCTTATCATTCTGATAATCTAGATTTCAAAGGTTACTAACTAAAATGGACAACATAACATAGTTTCTAAAGTGGGAAGTTGCCATCTCCCTAAAATAACTGTTTTGGGAGGATTATTTTATTGTGGTCCCAGCCCTAATCACTAGGGGATGAAGTCCTCAGCTCTGGAACACTTTCTATACTAAAGAACTAACAATCAGAATAATAAACTTTTGTTAAATCATATTATATAATGTGAAGGGCAAATGATGTTATACTTATTGGGGAAAATCCTTTTTTTAATATATTGATTTTTTTACAGAGAGGAAGGGAGAGGGATAGAGAGCTAGAAACATCGATGAGAGAGAAACATTGATCAGCTGCCTCCTGCACACCCCATGCTGGGGATGTGCCCGCAACCAAGGTACATGCCCCCAACTGGAATCGAACCCAGGACCCTTCAGTCTGCAGGCCGACGCTCTATCCACTGAACCAAGCCAGTCAGGGCGGGAAAAATCTTATATCAAAAACTCAGCCCGCCGAAACCAGTTTGGCTCAGTGGATGGAGCGTCGGCCTGCGGACTGGGAGGTCCCGGGTTCGGTTCCGGTCAAGGGCATGTGCCTGGGTTGCGGGCATATCCCCAGTGGGAGATGTGCAGGAGGCAGCTGATCGATGTTTCTCTCTCATCGATGTTTCTGGCTCTCTGTCTCTCTCCCTTCCTCTCTGTAAAAAATCAATAAAATATATTAAAAAAAAAAAAAACAACTCAGCCCAAACTTGATATAATTACCCAATTAAGTGGATGACAGGCTGGTACTAGGAAATGTTTTGACATATAGATTTGCATCATAATGATATTTAGTGTAAGCATTCATCCTCTAAGTTGTTGGTCTTTTTCTAAACAATGCCAAAAATGAAGGAGCCAATACCAAGGCAAAACATTGATCAGTACTGGAAAATCAACATCACTTGATTTGTAGGTTTACAGTTGTGAATACATGGAAGTTTACTATCAATGACTGTATGAAGTATAAAACCTACTTTTGCCCACCCCTGTATTTTCTGGAATTGTTAGAACTCACATGGGCTTTGAATAATTTTAATTTTGCAACTCGCCTGCTTTCTTCTTGGAAAGCCCTGAAGAGAACTGTTCTTACAGCCTTAGAGTCATTCTTGCTCAAAAGTATTCTTTTTAAGTAGTTTTGCTTTGCTCCCTAGTTTCTACCAGTGTTTTCTTATGTGAATAAATCACAAATGTTAGCATGTAACTTATTTTTAAAGTAGAAATCGAATTATCCATGTTTAAATTAAAAGTGTTTTATTGTCTTTCCAGATTATTGCTTTAGACACAGTCCTGGGATCCTTTCTGATCCTCACCAGTGTCATCTTGATGGTACTTGTGATCATTAACCTTTTTGTTTCTGCCATTCTCATGTCCTTTGGTAAAGAAAGAAAGTCCCTTAAGGTAAGTCAGTCTACGGCTTGGTAATCTTATATACAGGTTTTGCCCCCTATCCAAAAGTAGAGCAGGTTCCTATAAAAACTTTTAAAGCCAAACTGGCATAAAGTATAAAAGCAATTATCGTCAATTTAAATGGGAAAATTTTTTAAGCTTTCCCAGTCCCCCAAAAATAGCCTACCAAGTAATACATCACGCCTAAAACAGCACTAACATATAGTAAAAGCTGATATAATATACAGCTTATATAAAGAAAAAATAGCAGTTCAGTGTGCACTATTTCTATAATAGCTCACTGCAAACACTTCCCATTTCGCCTTTTTCATAAAAGCAAGTCCTCTTCCAATATCTTTGGTTAATGAAAATAGGTACTACCATACATCTTCCCTAAAAGTGAAGTGGCATAAAGTGGGGAATACCTGTATAAGCCATACCATTTTAACAGCAAATCATTAAAGGAAATAGTATTCCTACTATGTATGTTATTTTTACCTTTGATACTTTTTTCCTTCAATATACTTGCTTTTCTCCTTTTGTCTTCTAATAGACTTGGAAAGAAGCTACACTGATGGATATGCTGCTGCAGAAGCTCTCAAGTTTGTTAGGAATCCAGTGCACCAGAACACACGTGAGTAAACAGCCGTGACAGTCGTGGGCACTGACACTGAACTATCTTAACCCTGTTACCAGCTGGCGAGTACTTACTTTTGCATGGCATACAGATGTTTACAATACACTTTGTTAAATTTTGTCAGTAAGGAATCAAAATGCCCTTTGCTCAAAGTCCTTACGTTTATGATCTTGGCACTGTTGAGAAAGGGTTAACACTGCAAGAATGCGTGACACATTTAACTGGCTCTGCTGCCAAACGAATAACAGAACACTCACAACCAATGTTCCAGGACAGCTGTGGGAGATACGTGAGTCAGATGCGACCTTACGGCAGCTCATTAAAAAAAGACACAGGCACGCCATCAGCCCGATGGGGAGCATTTCTCACACTGTCCTCCTTGCCCTGATTTCATTAGGTCCTGGAAGCCGCTGCAGAGTGCCAGAGGAGTGACCATGCAAACTCACAGGTGCTTTCTGGGCTTAAATACAGAGACTGAAAGGGTTCCTTACCGCTGCAGGCATCCACATTACCCAGGGAGCCAAAGGTAAGGTCTGGCTTGTGCCCAGCATGGGTCACTTGCTTACAATATTCTCCACTAAAATCCAACTTTGCAGCTCCCTATTCAACCCAACCAGTGGAGAAAGCAGGTCATAGAATTTTTAACTTTATTATCAGCTACCAAGGTATTGGATACAAACCAACCAAAAACATTAAAGAAAGGTTGCTTGAGACAGGTATATACAGATATACTACACAGAAGCCAAAATCTTATCATCCGATCCCAAAGCCATCCCTGTGGGAAAGCATGGCCTTAGCTAAGGGGCAAAGGAGCATGTTAGTTACAATAGTAAGAGTATTGTCCATCAAGGAAAGCAGCAAACTACAGCCACATGGGCACCAAAATGTATGAGATTAGTTTTTAAAGGTTCGCTTCATCATGAAGTTTTCAAATGAAAACAGGAACCCCTCTTCTCCTGTAGGCTTTCCAGCTCACTATTCAAGAGACTTGAATGCTTCTATTAAGGCAACTGGAAGCCCACCTTAGCCTTGAATAGTGACTTCTGCCCAACATGTGGCCTGTTCTTCCTTTGTCAGTAATACAATCCAGCAGAACATGCTAGGGGAAAAACAGGAATTTATGCAGTGCTGCCCTCTGATAAAAGGGAAACAGCACTCAAAGCCAAAAGGCCACAGAGGGCTCCCTGGGAATCCAGTAGAACTGAGAGGCCTTCAACTTTCCAAATAAACTTTGCAGCTGGATCCAGGTGGAACATTGCCCTGCAGCAAGGAGTAGTGTAAATGCCAATGAGAGGACCCAGCTTCCAAGAACTGTTACAGTGGCTTCCTGAGTCATTCATATCAGAATGAGAAAACAGACATCTTAGCCTTGATTCTCTCTCACCGCGAATCCACCTGTACTAAGTCTAGAACCTCAGCACAGGGCTGAGACACTTCCTAAGTACTCTCTTCCACAGCCCAGCCATCTTTACCTTCTCTCCCCTGTAGAGGGATGGTGGGACAGGTGAGGAGAGAGCCTGGGCTAACACTGACAGGAAACAGACAAGCACGGCTTACAGGAGTCAGCTGCTCCGGGCTCACAGTGTCTCCAGTCATTCATCTCTTAGGAGCAATAAAGAACTGGAAAGCACCACAATTTGGTAGAGCAGGAAGAGAGCCCATAGGAAGAGTGTGCTCGGTGATGGTTAAGAGATGAAACAGAATTTCATGGAGATTCTTAGAAGGAGAAACTTCTCAGTCTCAACTCCCAGGACTTGGGTGGTGCCTGGATTAGGAGGCCTATGTTTTCTTTTTCAACTCTTCAAATCTCCGGGAAAGATCATCAAAGTCAATGTCCTCAGATGCTGAGGTGTTGGCACCAGCAGATGCAGTTGGTAGTGTATCTGGCACGGACGGCAACTCTGGAAGTACGAAGTTGTCATAGGTATCCACGGGTCTCGCAGGCGGCTTGGCAGAGGCTTCGGGCTTGGGTCTAGGACCTAATTAAATTAGGAAGGAGCACAGTGTTACAAATGCCAGAGAGGTGGCTCAGAGCCACAGTCCCCTTTGGCAGAAACAACAAAACAATCAAGTACAGTAGAAAAGTTTTCTTTCTAAATGATTAATTCTAAGGGTAAGTACACAGAACATTCATTTATACACATTGTCCCCTTTCACAAAGGCCTGCTCCCATAGCAACAAAGTCCAAAGTCTGGAGTGGTACCAGAATTCTGTTGGATGAAGTTACTCTTTAAGGCTTATCGGGAAAATAAGAAATGTTAATGTCAATCCTATTTGATGGACTGGGATCTGATCTGTATTTCTAGTCTTCCATTTTATAAGTTAAAAATCACCCCTTCTCTATTTACTGCATATTTATTTCTATTTATATATAAGTTCTAGAACAGGTAAACCTAAACTAAACTACAGTTTTAGAAAATAAGAACCGTTCTTACCTCTGGGGTGGAGTTGACTGAAAGGAACAAAAGGGAACTATCCTAGGGTGATAGAAATGTTTTATAACTTTGCTGAGGTGGTGGTTACATATTATATGTGGGTGCATAGACACACATGTAATATCAAAACTCATCAACAATAATTTTGTGTACAGAAATTATGTAAAATACAACTCTCTAAAAAATATATATATACTCCCTGTGGCCTTCTAGGGTGCTGGTAGTGGTTTTGAATAGATGGCTACATACTTATAATTTGTGCCTATTCACCCCTCCTCCTTTTAATTTCCAGGCACAATGGAAGCTGAATCAGCAGGAACATAAAGAATTTGAAAAAATAAAAATGTGTGCAAAAGAAACAGGGAACTTGTGAGATTCTTTGGGGCCAGGGAAGATTATTTTCCTTTTGGCAGAGGGAAATCCTGAGTTCTGTTTTTGCCATACTGCATTTGGAGGGTGGACAGGGCATGTGGGTTGAATTCCATGTATGAGAAAACAGCAAAGGGCTCAGCATTGAGCCTTGAGGGTTTCTAACTCACACTTACCAACAATCTGTGCAGAAGAGACATTCTTATCAGCATTACTGTCATCCACCTGGAACACAAACATTGTTACCAAAGAAAGCAGTGGCATCACTGGAGAAAGTACGGATACTTATACAAGCCCCTGTGCTGTCCAAAAGCTAAGCTGCTCAGCGAAAGCATCAGAACCTGCCCCTCCACTCCTTCCTGATCTTCCAGACAGATACCAGATGATATAGATACCATGCTGAACACCAAGCAGAGAAAAAGGAAAATCTAACCACAATGTAACAACACCTCTTTAACCTGATACCTTCACCTTCCAGGCAGAGAAAGCACTAAACCACTGACTTCATCTCCAAGAACCAAGTCTTCAAACAGTTGTGGGCAATGCTTCAATGCATGCAAGACCGAAACATAAGAAAAACTCAGGCCCAAGGTAATAGAACCAAAGGGAAGAACAAGCTCAGGAACAGGAGAATCTCCCTAGATGAGTCATTTCCACAGCAAACGCCACACCAATTTATTTTCTCAGTTATGCATCAGATGGAAACAGCTCTCAAAAGGCATACACCAGCCCTGGTCAGTTTATCTCCGTAGTTATAGAGCATTGGGTCGTGGGTTTGATTACCAGTGAAGGTCACATACCTCAGTTGCAGGTTCGATCCCTGACCTCAGTTGGGGCATGTGCGGGAGGCAACCAGTCGATAAGGTGTGTGTGTGTCTCTCTCCCTCCTCCCTTCTACTCTAAAAAAAAAAGGCACATACTGGCTGAACAAACAAGGATGGCAGAAAACAAGTCATCTAATTCTAAACCAAAGCTGCTACAACCACCTACAGAGTTCAAAGCATCAAATAGCCAATTAGAGCAAGTTTTAACCACAATACTAAAATGTAAAACTAATGCTACAGGACACTTGTGTGTCAGACAAAAATCTGGTCACTACTTTAAAATCTGCTTTACACAGTATTAAGAATTTATAAAGCTGGTAGTTTAATTATGAGATTCTAGCACTAAGACTACCAGTTCCAGGAAGTCTCTACATAGTCCAAAAAAAGATGGTTAAGTGCCCTACTAGAACTTTCTAAGATCTGCAGCTCCCTCCTGATCCTGGCTGAATTGCAGACAAAGCATTGCCACCATGATGCTGCTGCCGCCACCACACTCCATTTCCAGGATAATGTAAAAGCAGCACAATCCAGAGCAAGAACAAAGCTGGTACTAGAGTTGATCAAAACTTTGCCTTCCCTTTGGCCATTATTTTGCTCTCTCTTCATGGGATTCACTCTCCTGCTGCTTACAAAAGAGGCCCAGGCACTTACAGATTCATACGATGGGGGAACTGGTATCTGAGGTGGGTGAACATTGGGAAAGGCCTGATAAGGCCCCATTGGCAATCCATTGAAATCCGACTGCAAGAGGAGAAAGGCAACATCAGAGACACTGCCCCCAACTAGCGATTTTCTCCAGTATATATACACACAGAGAGAAGGTCCTCAAATAATGTCATTTCATTATAATGTTGAATGCCATAGGAAAGTAACTCTTGTTTCTATCAATTAGCCTAGGGTAAAATTGGGTTTCATAATACATCATTTCACTTAAATACATCATTTCACTTAAAGTCACAAAACTATCAATGACATTAAATAGGACTCATTAAACACAAGAACCCCAAAAGAAGAAAAACAAAATACCACATGTCATCAGAAGAACTGTAGCCAAAAGCTGTTATGCAAATTACTAAATCCATTGCTTACGGAAAATTATTAGACTTTACAACAATGACCTTCATCTTCTTGTCTACAAGAGGTTTTTTTACTTGGCAAGAAATGATTGTATTCAGTTTTATTTTTAAAGCTACTAATCTGGCCCTGGCCAGTTTTGACTCAGTGGATAGATCGTGGGCCTGCGGACTGAAGGGTCCCAGGTTCAATTCTGGTCAGGGGCACATGCCACAGTTGTGGGCTCATGCAGGAGGCAGCCGATCAATGATTCCCTCTCATCATTGATGTTCCTGTCTCTCTCTCCCTCTTCCTTCCTCTCTGAAATCAACAAAAAACTACTAATCTGCCAGCAACAGGTCCCGAATGTTTAATTAAAAAATAAACTACATGAAGATGAATTTTTCTAGCACCATCTCTCCAGATTTTTCCACGCATTACTTCTAGCTGAACCAAAAGGCTTTCTCTAAATCCCAATATTTTTCACACAATGTGATCATTAAGTTAGTATTTGTTCTTACTGCTTAATCGTCTTGACAATCTACAACTCCTGAGTATATTCACAGAGCCAACCTGTCATTTTCTAGAGCTTACATAACATTTATTTATTTATTTATATGTATACTTACTGGTCCCTTCGGAAGTGGGTATGAGAAAGGAGTACTTGGAGATGGCATGGGCATGGGCATGGGCATTGACACCGTTCCATCAGGTCCACCAATGGGTGCTGTGAACCCGCCCCCACCTCCTCCTCTTCCAGGGCCCCCTTTCTTCACATCATCTGTGAATCCAACATCAATAAGATCTGTCTCTACTCCAGGGGGAGCTTCTGCCTGAGAAAAAGA